GGCATGGAGAAACAAAAAGATGAACAGAGACACCGACCGTGTGGTCACTTTTCATGTCAACACGAACATGAATGATTTATTTGTTCCTGCACTGACAGCACAGCAGAGGGGGGCAGAGGCCGCTAAAAACACCACGACCATTGTGCCTAAACAGGCTAATATGAACAATGCCATCGTTTTAAATGAGATAATTACGATCAAAATATGAACAAAACATTTACAAGAACAACTCAATTGACCTGCTGTAGCCTGAACGCTGATTTCTGCATCGCCGTGCACCCTCAGACAAATCCGTTACTCATCTTAGCTTTTCTACAGATGTCGCAGAACCATCTTCCCTCCTCAGCCACTTAAACTCTTGCTCCCACTGAACCTGGTACTCCCGCTTGAACTCCTTGCCACTTGCTTGCCCCTCTGCCGCTGGCTGAACGTTGTCAGTCTTAGTGGCTTGTCCTTCATCCTCCACCACATCAATCCCTTTTTTCACCTCGTTTATCCACACCATCACAATTACTGGGCTTATTAAAAAAAGCTTCGGACGATCAGCTGCCGTGACATTTTGCGATTGCTAAAGCCGGTTAAACAACAAGGTAAACAACGAGGTCAAAAACAAGACTAGACAATAGCTACTTAATAACACACACTCGCCACCAACTGGAAAGGGGTGTGAATGACTAAATAATAGTTACAGACTACAGTAGAGTCCAGTAGATCGCCCTCAGTCTACCTGGCCACTAAGGATGTAATATAATGTGGGCCGCTGTTGGACTTTTTGGCGCTGTTCCGAGTTGTGTTCTAATCCGTCATTTTGACGGATTGCTTTCAGATTTTTCAGTCATTGTTAGAAAAAATCTGTCATTGACGGGAAATATTCAGTTAACGCGACCTCTGGTTCAGAGGTTCAACTATGTTTGTTGCTGCCTTTTTAACATCTCAATATCCATCAACAAAATCTGGATTTAGCAATTTGACCTGGTGACAAATTATCTATTTTCTTTCTCACAGCTGCAGCTCATCCAAATAAAACCTTATTTGTGAGCAATCTGCCTTTCAATGTGCAAGAAAAAAACATCAAGAAAATCTTTGCGAAAGCCATTAGTATCAACCTGCCTAAAAGCCAAGGCAAACCAAAAAGGTAAGTACATGTTCACTTCACCTTTCAAATAAAGAAAGCATTTGACTGTTCTCAAGAACATCTGTAATCCTCTGCAGGTTTGCGTTTGTTGAGTTTGCATCCGCGGCACACGCGGAGAAGGCCCTGCAGTCATCCCAGAAATTGACAATTTCCAAAAGGGAGATCAAAGTACAATTTTGCGACAAGGAAGAAGGGTCTGCACAGGCAAAATGTATGTGGGATTGTTTATGTTCTATTATCCATGTCGGTGTCGCCTTAGTTACTGCAAATCATACATGGGAAGTGTTTCCAAAGCCACAATGTGTTTTTCCCCCCATTTAGACTCATTAAAAACTTTGATCGTCATGGGCCTCGCTGAGAAGACGACTGCCGAGACTCTTAAAAGTGCCTTTGAAGGAGCTTCAAGTGCAAGAGTCACTGTAGATAAAGAGACAGGAGTTTCAAAAAAGTGGGTAGCCTCACGTTTTTTTGTCATCATTTGAACATGTTTTTTCGATTATTCCGGAAGTCCGATTTACACTGACTTGTGTCAATTGAAATGTTTTTCAGTTTTGGTTTTGTAGAGTTTGAGAATGAAGACAACTGCAAAGCTGGTAAAGAAACCATGGAGGACTGTGAGATCGATGGCAGCAAAGTGACGGTGACTTATGCAAAGGTCCAGGCTGCGAAAGGTCTGAAACTCCCCTCCAAGCCCCCCCAGGCACCTGGTGAGAAGTCTGCAGGTCAGGCAGGCAAACACAAACGTGGGAAAGGAAAAAAGAAAGGTAATGTTTGAGTTCAACTGGCGTGTATCAAGGTCTCATTGTAGTTGTATGCTTATAAGAAGAATTTGAGAAGAAGAAAGATCTAATTAGTGTTATTTTTTCATAGTAACACTGGATTTAGTGGCTACTGATAACGTCAAAGGGGACTAGTCGACAAACATGCAATGAATGATCCGCAGTTCCCCTAATTTGCAGAGCATCTTTTTACGCGTTGTTTTTTTGTATAGTAACTCTTGTTTTTGGCTAAATCTCTGCTTTCAACCTCAACTCAAACACACTTTATGCCTTCTATCCAGAACCAAGTAGCAAACAAGTTAGTCCTGTTCCAGCTAGTCCTGGGATATTTCTATGTGCTGGACAAATGGGAAACATTCTGGGCTAATGTATCCGTGTTTACTGAGCAGCATACTTTTTGTGTTTGGTTGTTTAGTATTTCCTAGGCGCATCTGTAACATCTTTTTGTGGACATATGAAGTATGACATAATGGTGGACAAATACCGGTATTCACAAGATTAGAAAGCCCTGATAGAGACATATTTGCAATTTACATTTCACAGCTACAGAGCCAGATAATTGCCTGGGTGGTTAGTTGGAGGACACCAAAAACTAAGCTAAAAGAATATTGGAATAACATTCAAACACAACTTTATAGATGTTAATGTTGCTGTGTCTTCTATGTTTAAATAAGCAAATGTTTACAACATGTTGCACCTCTCACAAGTGGCCAACAATTAGGCCTAAAAAAGATTTAAAGGTCCCATGTCATGCTTTTCCGGTTATTACCCGTCCCCTTGTGTGTTATGAAGGTTTTTCTGCATATAAACGATCTGCAGAGTCAAACCCTCAAAGTACACTCTGTAGCGAGTAAAACTCTAACGGTACGTCCACACAGCAGCTTTTCAAAAATCTTGAAAATCTTGGAGCTGGGCGTGTCTGAAAGCTTGGGGATTTCGCGACCAACAACCAATCACATGAATCTCCCGCCCCCGACATACAAAGCAAAAAAACCCGGTTCTTCTCCACTATTTCTTTTAACATTTTGAACATTTATGAGATTAATGTCTATGGTGCTATTTTATGCTACATTCCATGCTGGCTAATGATACTGTCTATGCTTGCTAGCAACGAAGTAAACTGGATATAAAATCCCCAAACAAGCGAAAACCTACCAGTTTCCCCCACAGCCTCTGCCACCTCCCTCCATGCCTGGTTCCTCCGGTTTGTATCCCGGTAAGTAAATAGGGACTGGTCATAAAGAACCGGGTGATTTGCTACCGCAATAACTAAGTTCTCCTCCATTTTTGTGGAATATAGAAATGAACTGCGGGTCTGGTTCTCCCAGCTTGCACGCGGTTTGATTGGCTAGCGCTTGAACTGTCAGATTTGCATAAACGGATCTGATTGGCTGTCGCTTCCAGCTCAGCCTCAAAAGTTGAACATTGTTCAACTTTGGAATCCTGAACATCCTGGAAATCTTCGCCTCGCCCCCCCACAATGCAGTTCGGCGACAAGCGAGGGAAAGTGACGTCATCCCCATTCAAAGTCAATGGGCGGAGACGCGCTGGAAGCGGTGGACAAATCGCCGAAAGCTGCTGTGTGTACGGGCCGTAACACAGAAAAGACCTGTCTGTGCTGCCCCAGAACGCCTCGTTGGAGATTTCTCTTTTTCCATTGTTTACTTCTTGGGTATAGTGAAGTATTTCGGGTATAGTGACGTAATGTAACGTCCACGGAGCTGTTACGTTTGGACCAATCCGCGGACTTCCTCACACACACACACACACACACACACTCGGCAGGACGTTGCGAGACTCGCTGCTGCGAGGAGCGGGGCACTGTGAGCTGGCTCACTGGTGTGGGGTCGGCAAGACACCGCGGAACTCAGCCTGGGCACACACACAAACTCCCAGCCAGGCTGCGGGTGTGTGTGTTTCGGGCTGGGTTTCGCTGTGTCTCGCAGACGACCACTGGTCTCACGGGGAGGGGGGGGGGCAGGAGCTCCAACAAGCCGTTTAGGACAGAGAGTGAATACACATACTATACAGAGATGCTGTTTGAGAAACCAATGTGAGTTTGGAACATTGCACAATATAAATCTATTCTAGTAGACCTCAACAATGGAACTATGATCAGTAGAAATGGCCATGACATGGGACCTTTAATAAATGCAATGCACCTTCTTTTTTGGCAGCTTCTTTTAGAAAATATTTGTACTGTCCTTGCATATGACGCTTTGAAATACTCAGCTGTTTTTACATTGCATTTAGCTGACGCTTTTATCCAAAGCGACTTACAATAAGTGCATTCGACCAAGAAGATACAAACTTGAAGAAAACAGAATCATATAAGTTTCATAGAGCCAAAACATTTCAAGTGCTACTCAACTGGCTTTAGATAAGCCAGTCCTTTGTTAGTATAAAGCTGTTGCTTGCTCATGTTGTTCATTGTCATTAGAGGGCTAGTTTTTTGTGCAACTTTAATTTACTGTCTTATATTGGTTATTGACTGGTTTAGCTTGATGTTTCTTGTGTAAATAAAACAATTTTTCTGCCTTGTTTCTCCTTCAGGTAAAAAATCTGGAGCTGTCGCGCCACAGGATGCTGTTAAAGAAGTTGAAAATAAAGGCTAACTGGACTGGGAAAAGTTAAACAGAGATGAATCTAAAAACTGTCCAGTTATTTTGATTATGTAAGGTTGTGAAAATGTAATGAGCATTGTTAGTCCTACCTGTTTTGTAAGACACATAACACCTTGTAGATGATCATATATTTGACTTTAAACCTTCCACTTCATAACTTTTATGAACAGATGTTAAAAAAACTCCTACTTATCAAATGTTGTTGTTAAAAGATTAATTGTGAAGATAAACTATATTTGAATCCCCACCAGCTGTGTATTTGAGTTTGTTGTAACATCTGTAGTGAAGAACCAAAAGGTTATGCAAGGACTAAAATCTCAGCCAAGTCACTGAAACCTTCTCAGCCACTGACCTGAAATAACTCCTAGCTAAACATGCCAGATCCTCCCGCTAATGACTAAGTGAAGCAGTATTCCCCCTTTATTTATTTTTTGCAAGGTTTTCTTTTATTGAAGAATGACTCGTGTAAGATAGCAGGGATGACACGTAAAGGGGTTCGAGCCTGGGCTCGAATCCGCGTCCGCCGCACGAACTGAGCCTCAGTACATGAGGGGCCGTCACCCTTTCCCCCCTCTTGCACACTTCGATTTGTTGCAACTTGCAGCAACTAATCCAAAACCCGGTGTCCTTTAGTGACCTCACATCCTGTTTTCCTCACTTCCTTCTGAATGGACCGGTTTGGGACGGTCCTGTCTCCGCGCGGCGTGGAGTTGTGTTGTGTTGGCGGGTGTCTGCAGACACATGTTCGATCTCCAGTGTTGCTAGGCTGCTGAACGGGGCACGCGAGCTAACTTTTGATGCAACCGTTAGTTCACCTGACTATGCAACGTATCGTGCATTGATTGAGAAGAGAAAAGTGTCGGTAAGTTGTTAATTCGCGTGAATTCGAGGTTTTTCACACGGTGTTCATTTTCAGTCTCATGTTAAGGTAAAGGAGCTCCATAACGGCTCAACAAGGAACTTGCGAAAAAGAAACAACTTTGTAACAAAAGTGTCAAACAGTGACTGCAAATGGCTCCTCATTCACTGTTTGGTGATGCAATACTGTTGAAACTGGGGTTGTTTGTTTTTCTCTCTGATAGGAAACTTCTAACTTGAGCTTGTTCTCCCTTTTCGCATTTTAAACATGTTGTTTACGTATCTGTAAAAACTCTACCCTTTAACTTCAGGTTAAATAACTTTTTTAGTTTGTTTTGGTTAGTGGGATTTGTTGGAAAGTGATGGAAGTGGTAGGTGCTACAGTGTAAAATACTGTAACAAGTACACGAGTCGTACATTCATGGTGTACAAGTAAAGCCACTCTTGGCCTCATATTATGCTTAAAACTACTGAAAGTCAAAGTACTCTATGCAGAATGGCCCATTACAGAATAATTATTATATCACTTTAATAATAGAGCTGTAGGCTACGGTTACAATACTGGAATGTTCTAGCATTACAATTATTCATGCATTTGTGTCCATAACCTTAATGTTTTAGCTTCAAGCAGATTAATGTCGTCAAAATTTCTTGAAAAAAAGGTAAGTCTGCATGAGAAAAATATACATTTTGAATTACATGTCACTTTTATCCAAAGCGACTTACATACATTCAGTACTGTGGACAATCCCCACAGGAGCAATTTGGGGTGAAGTGTCTTGCCCAGGGACACAACGACATGCTGACGCAGTGGGACTCGAACTTGCTACCCTGTGATTCGAAGTCCAGCACACTACCCACTGAGCCACATTGTGACTAATCAACAAACTACATCTAAATTGACTAAAGACTAAAATATCCGATGAATTGATCAATCAACTAGGCAGTTCTAATAAATATAATGTCAGTGTGCTAATTGTAAATTTAAGTTGAAAAAAAAGCACATTATTTAGGGGAGGCATGAGTTGAGTCCATGTAGATAAGTTTGCACATCTGTTATGTGTCATGTAAAAACTTGTTTATAAAGTTATGTCAGGTAGCAATGGGGACCAGTGCCACTGTTTCTGGATTGGGATCTGGACCTTTGCTGCTCTAGGACTGTTACATAGTTGTTTTGAAGCCAACCCGGTGTAGCTTTGGCTTTATGTTTGGAGTCTTTGTCCGGCTGGAAAATAAATCTTATCCAAAGTCCCCATTGGCTTGCAGACTGCAGCAGTGTTTCTAACAGGATTTCTATTTATTTATATGCTGCAATATTTACTTTATTTTACTGCATGATGCTGCCACCACAAGAGGGATGGTGACAAAGCTTTTGTCTCATCATGTTAGATGTGTCATGGACGATTGGTTTTCTCTTTGAAAAGTTATATAAATGCAATTAATAAAGTTTCATATTAACTGTGGAGGAAGTGTCTAAAATATGAATTTGGAGCTGGACTTTTCTGATATAAGATTTAATTGCATTATCTTGGCCCAATTAATGCATAATATCAATATTATCTCTAAATCTACAGAAACCCCCCAAACATCAGTCATTCAACTTACTTTTTAACAATAGCTGTACAGAAGTGCACAAAATAACTATTACATTTGGTATTTGTAATCTTTATTTAAAGAGCAATTATCCATATTCAAGTTATGTGTTTCACAAAGACAGCTAAATAACAACATACAAGCCCTAAATGATCAAGCAGTCTTAAATGAAAACAAATCACACACTTTTGTGTATAAATAAACAGTATAGTGTAGAGAAAGGTAAGAAAAGGAAACCATTTAGTTTTTTAAAGGCAATAGAAACTTAAGTTAAATCTGGAAATCTCCAATAAAAGTATCCTTTTTTCCAGCTGGGCTTGTGGAACAGAAAAATACCTGTGCCCAAGTTTCTCAAAATAAGTACGGGAGCGGAGTTCAGTGATATATAGATGTGAGAGAGGCACGTAGAGCCTAACATTGGTCAAAACGATCCTTGAACATGGCAGGAGACAGTTTAACAATGCTAAAAAGAATAATGCAGCACTCAATAAAATCACGTCTTATCATAAATCTATACATGTAAATATCACAGATGTACAATCACAGATGTAAAATACCAGATGACCTCATACATGATAGTGCTTGGCTGTGAGTCAAACATTATTGTAGGTGTGACAGTTATTGAGCAGTAACATTTGCATGGTGCAAAGGTTTCCATGTTTTACTGCCCATCCTGTCCTGGATCAATGCTTCACATCTAAGAGTGTCGCACTAATGTGTCAATAAAGTTGCCAGTGTGTTAAAAGGCTCAGTTAAGTCCTACAGAAGTGCACTCAATCAAATCAATGCAATCAAGCCAGAGTAACGCCATATTTCAACTATTGACTCAGCTAATATTCCAGTATGTGGACAATATGTAAAAGGTTTCAAAAACAAGACAATGAATGTACCGGAAGCTTTTCACCAAGTCTCAAGACGTGACCGATATGAAGATAGGGAATATCTTTTCCTCCGGATTAATAGCAGGTAGATAAGGTTTACTCAATGGTGTTACTATGTTGAACGCTTAACAAACATCTGTTAGTCTTTTGTGAGGATTACTGGAATATTCACTTCTGTTTTTTGGGGTTTATTTTCAGTTTGCAAAGTTATTGAACTTGGCCATTTCAAGTCCATGACTGTTATTAGCATTGCAACATGTTTGCTGACCAGACAGAGTAGAGACTTCTGTGATAAGAAAGCGTCAGCGAGTAAACCACCCATTGGAGTTCCAGTAAAGAAAATGATCTCTCTTCGTTTTTTCTTCTCAGTTGTTGAACTTCAGACAGAATGAAGACGAAAGAGCCGACGATTATAAACCAGGGACTGGAGGATGAGATGGTAATTATCCATTTCTGTTCTAATCTGAATTCCTTTATCAGCGAGGACATTACAGCGTTACAGCAAAAGTGGCATAGCAGGGAAAAAGGCATGTATGAGAAAAAAGAAAGACAATGAGTAAACTACCATGGCTAAAGAAATGTGTAGCAGCAATTTAAGTAAAACTAAGTGACATAAATAGCATATTAAAATATTGCGACCACAATAAAAACGATTGGGACATTTATGAAAATATTATTTTTTTACGTAAAGTGGTCATAGCACTGTCTTTATATTGCACATTTCAGGTTTATTGCTTAATAAAAGAGCAGTTTTGGGTGGAGGGTGTCAATAACCAATAAGTTAAAGAAATACACAATGCATATACCCAGTTTTTTAAATAGTTTTTGTGGGAAAACACTAGATAAAGTAAGAAAAGATGATCGTTATCACTTTTGTTTTTGCGTGTTTACTGTAAAGCCACGACCAGCAGCCTGTTAGCTTAGCTTTAACACTTGGAAGAAGCTAAAACAGCTAGCTGGGCTAAATCTGCCAATCAGGGCTTCTAAATCTCACCTATGTTTGGTAAACATCAAACTTATTTTCTAAACATCAGAGTTCTCAATTATATGCAATCAGCTAAAAACCAAAAACACCACATTTTGCATCTTAAAGGTGGGGTATGTCATTCACTTGAGAAACGCTTCTTGTTATATTCCATGGAATGCTCTTAACATCCCGATAGCAATGAATATATGAAATGCTTTGACAATAAATACATAAATGTCATCTGTGGAAGCCGGCCCGGCTAAAGTAACTGGATGGCCTACCTGCCTGTCAGCCTCCCATCTGTGCACAAACTTATCTCGTGCCCTCATTGGTCATGTGCGCGTTCGTGTGTGTTGGAGGAAGGAGGTCTGAAGGAAGGGGCAGATTTTTTCCGGCTGTGTATTTTCAAATTCTAGCGCTCGAGCTGGTTTCTCCAAAATGACCTACCCCACCTTTAAGTATGTCCACTCTAATTCAAGGTGGCAATCAGCAGTATGTGATAAGACATATTGCCAAGAGTGCTTATCGAGCAGAGTTGACTGTAATCCACTTACATTTCTGGAACTGATTATCCGATTATTTTGGACAAATTGCCCTGTTTCTTGAGTGAAACATAACTCTTGAATCCAAATACACCGTTAATCGGCTACTGAAAATAGTCCCCAACAAATAAATATGTATTCCTGTTGAAGCAAAGTTTGTTCTAGGTCAGGGGTTCCCAAACTTTGCCATGCCAAGGACCCCATATAGAGCATTATCCTCTGGCGGGGACCCCCCTGTTGCAATTATTTTTTAAATGATGAGTACATTATGATGGAAAATATGACAAATGAATCATACAGCTTAATACATTTTCTTAATATATATTTGTATTAATAATTAATAATCAGTTATTCTTCTAAACATTTTTGTATTTATCTTTTGTTTGTCATTCATTACATTCATTGTGTCTTCTGTTATAAACATTCTTAACACAATATTAAACAGTAATATCAACAGTGAACATATTTTTAAAGCATTATTAAAGTGACTTCTGTCTTTATAATATTATATCATCTTGAACAGTAATATGAACAATTAACATATATTTTTAGCATTTTTGAAAGCTACTTATGCCTTAATAATATTATATATAATATTCAACAGTAATATTAACAATAAACATTTATATTATTCATATATATAAACCACAACATTTGCTACATCCGTGCTCTCATCCAGCGGCAGAGCGAAATATTCACTAGCTCTCACTTGCTCCAAAAGCTGAGCAGATACTCAGTTTCACTCTCAGTAGCGGCAGCTCGATTCTGATTGGCTTGAAGGGCGGTCGGTCGTGTGATTTAAAAACAAAAAAATAAAATATAAAAAAATAAAAAATGTTGGCATCAAAGGACACATAGATTGATAGATATGCAGTTATTAATAACATCTAAAAAAATAAATAAAAATGTAACTTTAAAAAAAAAAAAAAAATTCCCCTTTCCCTCATACTTTGCGTGACCCCCCTGGTGCCCCCTGGCGGCCCCCACTTTGAAAAACACTGTTCTAGGTTACAGTGAAATTACTTTACTTAAAAAATATTTAATTTTTTTAAACTCTAGAATGAGAACAGGCCTTTTTCACAGACGACACTAGAGTAGGAAACGTGTAAATAATAACATTTAGGGTACAGTTGTAAAAATGTGAATTATATGTAGACTGAATCCCATTTAGCTGCTTCAGTTTCAGGGTCCTGGTATTTGCGTGTTACTGGATAGCCCGCTTTCCAGGGGCTATTAAGATGAGAAGGTTAGCAAGTCATTTAGAGAGAAGTGTTACCCTTCAGTGTGTTTACATGAGTGTGTGTCCGTGCAGGAGGTGTGGGGTTATCGGCCCTGTGTATGGAAGATGATCCTGGTGGGTGTAGGGACCGTGTGCTCCGGGGGTCTCCTGCTGCTCCTACTCTACTGGCTGCCTGAGTGGGGCGTTAAGGGTACCTGCACACACACCTCGCTGAGAGACGCACACACACTCCTGCTCAGGACCACGGTAGGAAAACGGCAGAAATTGCTTTCTTTTTTTTACACAATTTACTTGTTTTATACATTTTTCTCTGCTCGAGTACATTATATGACTTTACATTTCATTTAGCTGACCATTTTGGCAACCGCAACACGTACAACAACTGCAATCAGTCATTATATATAAACAGCAGTAAGCCGAAGATGAGCTGCTTTTCCAGTTAGAATTCTGTATTCAAAAAGTTTCTTTTAGTCAGGTGTATATAAATATTTGTGTTGAGTGTTTAAGTGCTTAGAATATTATGACATAAGTATTGCCATTCTCATCTCAAGTTTTTACATTTTTGGATCAATGCTTTTTGTCACACAAGTTTGGTGCAAGTTTGAACTGTTTTTGACCACTCAAAAAGTGATGCAAATGGTCAAAAATATCACATTAGGAAACCAAGACCTTGAAGAATACCATAGAAAAATCAATGCTGTGATTTGGCAGTAAAGATGTATGACTTTTGGAGATTTCTTTAAGAATTGCATTATTTGATCATAATAATAATAATACATTCGATTTATAAAGCACCTTTCATTGCTCACAGCAATCCCAAGGTGCTATAGGAGGCATAAACAAAATAAACAAAAGTTTAATCAAAAGCTTTTTTAAAAAGAAAGGTTTTTAAGCCTTTCTTGAAGGCGTCAGTGGTCTGTGGAGTACTCAGTGGTCTGGGAGGGAAGCAGCTGCACAGAAAGCCCAATCCCCCCATTGTGCGGAGTTTGGTTCTCGGGGGGGCGAAGCCGATGGTTAGTTGTGGAGCGGAGGTTTGAGATGTGAGAAGTTCCTTCAGGTATGGAGGAGCGTTCCCGTGGATGCATTGATGGGTCAGTAGTGCGATCCTGAATGAGACAGGAAGCCAGTGGATGAAGAACGGGTGTGATGTGGTTGTATTGTCTCACCCTCATCAGGATCCTAGCGGCACTGTTCTGTACGTATTGGAGCTTCTGAAGGCTCCAGCTAGGAGTCCCGATGAGGAGAGCGTTGCAGTAATCGAGCCTTGAGGAGACGAAGGCATGGACCAGTTGTTCTGCATCTGACAGGGAGAGTGTGGGACGGAGCTTTGCAATGTTCCTGAGGTGGTAGAAGGAGGTTTTGCACAGGTGTCTGATGTGGGTGTCATAGGTCAGATGTGAAATCTTACACCCAGGTTGGTAACTGCTGTGGAGAGGGGTAGGTTTTGTCCAGAAAAGGTAATGTGGGTTATGGGGGATGACTGGGCCTGGTTTGGGGTGCCAACTAAAATAGCTTCTGTTTTGGATTTGGATTTTTGGCTGGCAACAGATAGAAAAAGACTCTTATTGTCAATATACCAAAAGGTCACAACAGATCATTTAATACAGTACGTTTAAAAAAGAGATTTACTCTAGCTTGTGCTAACCTATTTCTTCGTTCACAGAACTGAGTTCAGTCTTGTGCTGCTGCTCACTAATCATCCTGACATGTATTACGTTCTTTTGGCAAACACTGTACTACTCTACTGATTACATGACATGACACTTGTTAGACGCTTTTATCCAAAGTGACTTACATACTCAATACTGTGGGCCATCCCCACGGGAGCACTTTGGGGTGAAGAGTCTCAGCCTCAGTGGGGTTTGAACCTGTGACCCCCTGATCCCAACACCAACGCACAACCCACTCCACCACACACCTCCTACTGATGATGAATTCAGTGTGATCTCACAGCCAAGGAAAACAAAAGCTATTCTTTATATTGCTAAACAGGATGAGTTCAGTCAATGGTTTCGAGCCAAAGTACACGTGATGTTGGCTCCAGGGAAGGAACCCTTCGACAGCTTGGATCTGATGTCCACAGCTCAGCTGCCGAACGGAGCCGGAGACTACGGTATCAGCGCTGTGCACGACGAGCATCATGGGAAATATGAGGCGCCTGTTCAGGTGCCTCATTTTGAAACTGTTGCTGCTTTTTGACATTATGTGTTGCTCCTATGTATGGTTGTCCCACAGACAATATCTAAATATGTCTCTCCCTTTCTTACTGTAGATCCTCTACTTCACCCACCACAGTACCAAATACTACTGGAACGATATGATACAGAACTTTGAGTTCTATATGTAAGAGTCCCTCTGAAACACCATGCGCTTTTATTTGGAAATGTTTTATCTTCTTGCTGAACAAACTAAATGTATGGAAGCCCTAAAAAGCAATCAAGGAAGATCTTTTTCTGCTGATACATTATATCATTTGCATCTATATATCATTTTTTTGTTTAAGAGAATAACAAGTGATTTTCTTTCATTGGTGAAACAGGAAAGAAAAATGGTCAGGATAATATTCTTGGAAATTGGTGAAAACAGAACTAAAACCAATTATTCAATGAAAAACAAGTTTTAGTGAGACATTTGGTCTCTTAGATAAGGATCATTTCTAATGTTTTCTCCATGTGATATATCATTTGATGGTGTTTATTGAATATTGCAGTGGAATGTTCATTCTTAATCAGTTCTTAAGTCCTACTTAGAACATGGAGTACTATGGTAATCTTGTGGCCGAAATGATTATCAAAACTACGCAACAAAATATCACTCGCATTCACAGATGAAAAAGAAAGTAATATCAAAAATGATCCTGACCTGTTTCACAGATGGAAAACATGAACATAGAAGGGTTATCCTTGTTAAAACATTATAGTTTCACCTGTTTTCAAGTAACTAACACAGAACAAAACAAAACACAATTATTTAGAACAGATTTCAATCTCTTGTCCTTGCTGGCCTTTCAGGGCTTCTGGAAAAAAGTGTGTTATTTAATACTTGATACCGTATGTATTATTCACATGAAATGAATGTGTGTGCCTTTTCTAGAGGCTTGGAGGATGTGAAGGTGAGCTGCGCGAGCATCCACTCTGACCACAGCTCTGGACTTTCTAAAACACTGCAGGACTACAGGTACACACATGCAAGCATCTTTCCTGCAGATTATTCTCTCATCACAATAACCAATATTTAAAAGTCAAATGTATTCCAATTAACTGGCAGAATCATCAGAATATGCACTTTATCTATTGTTTTTTCTTTTTTTACCAGGAGGTTGTTTTTCGGGGAGAATGAGATTGCTGTAAGAGTGCCGTCTCTGTTCAAGCTCCTCATAAAGGAGGTGAGTTCTTTGTCTTATATCAAGTCTGGCACTGCTTTTATCATACCAACATCATTAATGCACATTTTTGACGAGTTTCTTTCTGTTCCTTCGCCAGGTCTTAAATCCTTTCTACATCTTCCAGCTCTTCAGTGTTATACTGTGGAGTGCTGAGGACTACTACTATTATGCTACAGCCATAGTTTTCATGTCTGTGATTTCAATAGCTACCTCTCTGTACACCATTAAAAAGGTAAGTCATGAAAAACTTAATATTCTTATTCCATAACTTGAAAAGCAGAAGGCAGAGGCTAATGGTGCATTCACATGCTAATCAGATGGTCCCAATTCTGTGTTAGGAAGCTCCAACTTTGGTGTGTTCGATCAGCTTTAAGTCATAATGTGCAGACAACATCTTAACAGACATTGTGTTGTATTTGAATGCTCAGTGAACATGTTGATATTTGTCTTCCGAGTAGTTGGGTGTTCATTGGAATTTTTCAATGCCTCCGCTTAACCTATAGTATACTACGTTCAATTCTTGTAAACACAATATCTCATGAACGCCTGGAGGTATTTTCCTAAGATTTGGCACAAACATAAACTTGGAATCAAGGATGAACTGTGTTCTCAAAACAATGACTTTTGCCTTTTATACACTGATTGATAAAGGCATACAACAGCAAGGATGCATTACTAGTTCCGATTGTTCCAATACCACATGAATGCAACACAAATGCCTCGCTATGTTAACGCGTTTGAACCATAAAGTGTGTATCTGCTGACAGACAAACTGAGCCTCTTTGGCAAAAACACTAATAATCTTTCCAGAGCCGTATGAACTCATCATTTTGTCTGCTTGTGTACTTCCAGAAGTATGTTTTGAACTTTTTTGATACGCTGTCTCTTATTTCCCAGCAATATGTGATGCTGCATGACATGGTGGCAACACACAGCGTGGTCCGTGTTTCAGTGTGCAGAGGGAATAAAGGCATGTTCTACTTTACTTTGGCTATTCGTGAAAACAAGACTGCCAATCATTATTCAGCAATGACGGATGTCTTATTGTGTTGGTGGTGTTTTTGGTTTAATATGATATAGTAATGTGCATTATTTTATATTGTAGATGAATGACACTTTTTTTCTATTTGAATCTTGTTCCTAGAAATTGAACAGGCCATGTCAACAGATCTTGTGCCCGGTGATGTCATCATTATCCCAGCCAATGGGATGGTCATGCCCTGCGATGCTGTGCTCATCCATGGGACCTGCATTGTAAATGAGAGCATGCTGACAGGTCGTATATCCTTATATTCTAGAACAAAAACAAATATTAACCCAATGTCTACTTCTTAGTCTTTCCTGGAGCTTTTCCCTACACCTCAGGGTCTTCTGAGAAAGGGATTTTCTCAGTTTTCAGGAAGTTTTCTAGTCGAACGTCCCGGGAAAAGCTAGTAAATGGACTTTGTGTTAAAAAAATATGTCTAACTGCTGTTTTTTTATGTTCATCTGAACTGTCTAATTCTTTAGTTTATTTTTTCAGACAAAATAAAGAACTGGTCTTCATTTTCTTCATTTTTTTCTTGATAACAGAATACATCATGACAAAAGTGATTAACACTATTTCTCTTATTTTATTTTTCTCAGTGAAATCATGATATCAATTACAGTTCACTTCTAAACGTTGGTATGGTTCAAATATAAATTGGTAAATGGTCAAATATAATAAACATTCTAACCAAGTGGATTCATGGCTCAAGGGATTTAAAAGTGGAGCATCAGTTCTGACACCGAATTAAACTAAAAACTGAGAAATTCATTTAAAAAAGGGAAAGAAAGCATTTTTCCATGGCAACTTTCTTGACAAAATATTGTATTTTGATTGAACAATAATTGTATTTTAATATAGTCCTCACATGCTACACGGCAGCTGTTGTTCTTTTTAAGCTTTGTTTTTTTATTGGAGACTAACTCTCCTTCCATCTTCAGGGGAGAGCGTGCCTGTCACCAAGACGAGTCTGCCGAGTTCAGGCGAGGATGCGGCATGGACCTACAGCACGGAGGAGCACAAGAGACACACGCTGTTCTGTGGCACACACATTATCCAGACACGCTTCTACGCTGGAGAACTGGTGGAGGCTGTTGTGGTCAGAACCGGTGAGACAGCAGGGAAAAAAGACTTCCAAATATCATGATGAAAATAACTTTAAACATGCAAGGGATTACACGTGTCATTCATTGTGTGTTCCCACAGGCTTCAGTACAGAGAAAGGCCAACTTGTCCGCTCCATCCTCCACCCAAAACCCACAGACTTCAAGCTGTACCGCGATGCATACCTTTTCCTGTTGTGTCTGGTGGGGGTGGCGGGGATCGGCTTCATCTACACCATTGTCCTCAGTATCATGAAAAAGGTAACCTCAGATTGAAATGTATGGTGTTTCCTTAGGAGATTTAAGGATTCTATCAGCCTGTAGATATTCTTCCTGTTCTGTCGTTGATGGTTTCTCCATAAACTCATCCAGGTTCCTGCTAAAACCATTATCATTGAATCTCTGGACATCATCACCATCACCGTTCCCCCGGCCTTACCGGCAGCCATGACGGCCGGTATTGTGTACGCACAGCGTCGACTGAAGCGCGTTGGCATCTTCTGCATCAGTCCTCAGAGGATCAACATGTGTGGGCAGCTCAACCTGGTTTGCTTCGACAAGGTATTTAGACAGCAGTTATCATTTCGGTGATGCAATTTAGTTTTCTTGTTAAAAATGTAATGCAGCGGCTTGGGTTTGTTTCCGTCTCAGCTATTTGCTGCATGAAGACCCTCTCTCTTCCTCTCTCTCTGACACTGTTAAATCAATAAAACACAATGAACAAAAACAAATCTTATAGTTGATCTACTTCAACTTCAGGGTTGAAGACGTTATAGACGCATGTAACAAGAGGATGGAGTCACTGTGATATCACCCATTGGTTTTTAAGCCTTGAGTGTTGGCGGTTTTGCCAGTGGTCATATTGGTTTTTGGGAATAGAAGTAACACGGAGAAGTTAAAAGGTCCCTATTATGCTAATGTTCAGGTGTATATCAGTATGTAGTGCCTCTACTGGGACATGTCTCCATGCTTTAATGTTCAAAAAGCTCTTTCTTTTTATACTCCTGTGCTGCAGCACCTCTTTTCACCCTCTGACCCTCAGAGCCCAGTCTGCTCTGATTGGTTAGCTGGCTGGCTCTGTTGCGATTGGTCAACTGCTTAAAGATGTCCCGCCCCTAAGCCTATCACGTACAATGTGTTGGAGTGCTAGCCAATAGAAGCGCAAGTGATGTCACTATGTTCCAGATGTAAACAAAGGAGTCCAATGGAGTCGTTCCAGGCAGGAGAAGAAAAAAAGTGAACATATGGAATTGTAACCTTTGCAGACCATTTACATGCACCAAAACTGATATAACACACTACAAGAAAGGCAAAACCCCCAAAAGCATAAAAGGACACCTATTATAATTAAGCAATTGAGACTTATTTGGAAAAAGTTTACTCGGGTCATAAATCAAGCGATTACTAGTGTTCCTTTCACATAGACTTCTATCAAATCAAATGTAAAGTTGCATCCTGCTTGTTATTAGAGAGAATGCAGATTGAAACCATTGGCTCGACTTTCAAACCCAGAGGTTTTTGCACGGTCTTAATTTATCGGTGTCATTTCTAGGAACAATGTTCAACTGTGACTAAAAAGTCCTTCACTCAGAATGAGCGTCAAAACCACAAACCAAAGTGAATCATGATGTCTTCAAGCAGTGCTGTAGATGTACAATGAAGCCATTTGTCCACAACACCAAGCATCATACTGTTCTTATATGTTACTGCTTTAGTGTAGATTGGAAAGCTTCCTCATCGACTGTGTGATTGGAGTGATAATCAACTGGAAGCCATTTTGGCAAACAATTCATCATAAGAGCTGCTTATTGGTTTGTATGTTCTTCTAAAACACCAAACAAGGTTTCTGTTGGGCAAACAAACAAATACAACATATTCATTTGTGGGATTTGTGGCTGGTATTTGATTCAAATAAAATAAATGAATTGCGTGGATTTCTGAATAACAGTCTGTTCTAAACCAGCAGCCACATGCTTTAGGCAGACAGTTCCTTCAAAGAGGTTTTTTTTAAGGTGACCACAACACATTTGTTTCGATGACTTACATTTTACCAGATGTTATTCAATTTACAGAACTTGAAAAATCTGTAACTTGAAGCAATTGACAGTCTGTTTAATTTGGTCTACTGTAAAGTTGATGTATCGCCTCGTAAACGGTGTGGTTGTTTTCTAGAGGTTGACTTTTTCTATTAAATGTTGAGACACAATTTAACGATACACTTTTTAGGTCTTGATCTTTTTTTAAATTGTTATTATAACTGGATAAAGGATTTTAGTCCTCAAACATCTTGATCTTAAGTTAACAGAGAAACAGGCTGACTAAATGCTTCGAAGGGCCAGGCAAGCAGTATCAGAGAAACATGGATTTGTTAACTCTCTTTGAAGGGAGTTTTCTCTCCTACTGAATAAAGCACACACTCCCACACACTTCTCTCCCACACACTCCCACACACTTCTCTCCCACACACTCCCACACACTTCTCTCCCACACACTCCCCCCCCCCCCCCCCCCTGCCTGAAGCCTCAATTACTTCAGTAACATAATGGAATCACTATGTAACACTCACGCTTCTATTGGCTAGCGTTCCAACACATTGCACGTGATGATGAGGCTAAGGGGCGGGACATCTCTAAGCAGTTGCCCAACCACAACAGAGTTGGCCAGCTAACCAATCAGAGCAGGCTCTGGTTTCAGACAGAGGGTGAAAAGAGGTGCTGCAGCACAGGCAGTATGAGAACGATAAAAAGCTTTCTGAACATTAAAGCAGGGAGACATGTCCCAGTAGAGACACTACATACAAATATGAACCTGAAAATGATACATTTTTTGAAGTGAGGAGACCTTTGTGAACATTTCGGCTTCCAGTAAAAATCTCTTAAAGGATGATAAATAGGGAAATATCATCTGGGAGAAGTGGACTGCAACGGTACCAATGGTGGAAAGATAACAACTCCCATGGTCCTACACAATTCCTTCAAGTATCAAACTTTTTTTATTGTTTTGATTGAGAGACCCCTTTTAGCAGAAAATGACAGCTCTAGTTTTATTTCCACAATTCTCAGAAAGAGTGTGTGCGTGTTGTATCAACAGGTCAGTCCTTGATTAGAGAAAAGTTAACAAGTTCACTGAATGGTTTTACTTTAATGAATTAAATATAGGACTAAATATATTTCTGTACCTCGGTTAAGAATAGATGTTCTGCTCTGAGGGGTGGATAGTGCGGCCTGGGTGGGTGTGCTGTTAACTGTGTGTACTTGTTTTCCTTCAGACTGGTACTCTGACTGAAGATGGTTTGGACCTGTGGGGTGTGCAGACGGTTAAAGACGGCAGGTATGAGATCCCCATCTGTTTCCTGAGAGTAACCACAAAACAGATAGACAAATCAGGACCGATATGGTTAGCTAATAACGTGTTCTGACACATTAAATGCAGGCCAAAGTAGTAAAGGTCCACACTTTCGGTTAATATAAATATATAAACGGATGGAGATTTTCTTTGGAGTTGTCTTTAACATTTCTCACTGGATGTTTTGATTTCAGGAAAGAAAGAATAGTATATTGCCTGTTAATTCATTCAGAATCAGTTACGTAATACAGTATTTATCTTTCCCCCCCCTCCCCTCCCCCCTCTCCATCACAGCTTTTCTCCCCCAGAGGCTGATGCAGCTGAAGACAGTCTGGTTAACTCTGCGTTTGTGGCCTGCATGGCTACCTGCCACTCACTGACCAAGATCGAGGGCGAGCTCTCCGGAGACCCCTTAGACCTGAAGATGTTCAGCGCCACAGGCTGGGTAATCCAAGATACTCCATGTTTACACCCAACGTGCTCAGTCACTGGCACCACAACTAGCTCGCATCTGTTCATGAATTATGCAACACCACGCTTTGTCACTTTGGCAGAGCAAGGTCTTCTTGGCTAAAAATGCTTAAAGTCTGGTACCATGGAAACTCCATTATGAACAGCAGAAAATGTCTCTGCTTCTGAATAAGAAACTGCGACTGTGGATGATTGTTTTGCGTCATGCTGGACAAAGTGTAATGGAATCTAAATGTTATTAATTTATGATTTTATTTAGATCCTAGAGGAGCCCACAGAGGAAGAGACTACACTCCACAATCCCATAATGCCCACAGTCGTGCGACCTCCAAAGCAAGCCATCCCTGAAGCCAATCAGAACAATCCTCTCACTCAGAACATGGTACAGTGACGCTGGTCCATATCACTGTTTTATCATCAGTTAGAGCCTGGTCTCAGAATTATATTGGCATTAAATCCTTGCTTTTTCCCCTAGGAGCTGAATCAGTTACCAGTAAGTTGTCCTTTTTCATTCATACATAATATAAATTGTTCAACATTTGATGAGTAGATATTTGTTAATTCCCCACATACATTTTCTTGCCCAGAGTTAAAAGATTAATACCACTCTCATGTTTGTATGCTAAATATAACGCTACTGCCTGCTGCTGGCTAGCTTAGCATAAAGACTAGAATCAGGGGGAAACAGCCTGGCTCTGTCCAAACAGCTTGCCATGAGCTATGACTTGCTGTCTTTGTATGACTCCAGGTGCTGGGGGACAAATGTTAAGAGATCGGATAGCTGTTTCCACTTGTTTACAAACGTTATCCTAAGCCACGCTAACCATCTCTTGGCTGCTTCATAGATAGCATACAAACGAGGAAGAACTGTCTTGTTATCCACAACAGATTGGAAGTTGTTGTTTTATTTCCACTACTAACATGTATGCAACATGTTTTCTGCTCCTTAGTCCTGTGAGATCGGTATCGTGCGTCAGTTCCCGTTCTCCTCCACCCTGCAGAGGATGAGTGTGGTGGTACGGCGGCTGGGGGAGAAACACATGGATGCTTACCTGAAAGGAGCACCGGAGGTTGTGGCCAGCCTCTGCAAACAGCACACAGGTCTGACTCTTCTGTATGTTAAAGGCTTGGGTGGATCTCCTCCCTTCATTTCCAACCAAGCACCTCATTTTCTGCCTGATAACAACGTACCAGTTGCACACTGTTTTGGTTTTGAAATGTGGCATTCATTGATTCATTATTGGCTTTTATTACATACATGAAAAAAAACTAAATAATATTCAGCGATAAATACATACAGATCTTTCAGTGTCCTTTATCATGAGTGTAGTATTCTTTTTATACAAAGGTTTTCCTGAATGCATCCAAAGGCCCAGACTAACATGCCTCTGCCCGTCTCTGCAGTTCCACAGAGCTTCACAGAGACTCTAGAGACGTACACCAAGCAGGGCTTCAGAGTCATTGCCCTGGCTCATCGACAGCTGGAGTCCAAACTCTCCTGGCACAAAGTGCAGAGCCTCAGCAGGTACTCCTCCCTCCGCTGATAACACTGTGTATGTAGCTACTGACAGAGCCCAAAACACTGTAACTGTTACAAATCTTCTCTCAAATACTGCACTTTGTACTTGTGATTTTTGTGTCTGAGCTCCTCTGATAACTGAAAAACCATAACAAATAACACGTCCAAATATTAAAGGCTGCTTCAGAAGATTACAACATGTTCAAGAAATGGAAAAAACAAGAGCAAATGTCAAGTTTTGATTGCAGTTATCTCAGAATGATTCTGCAAGCTGTTGCCAAGAGCCAGTAGCATCAGAATCACAATACCTATATTTGTCCCACAGAGGGGACATTTATATTTGTAAAGAGCATAAGATAGCTTAATATCACTCAAGAAGCATGCATACAAATATGAAAAGATAAAACTAGAAATTTCACAATTTACGAAAATACACATCCAGTACCAGTAACAGTAACAGTGTAGCGATATAGCAGAAAGGTGGAAGTATATATTGCACAGCTATTTACGGTAAATGTGTATAGCACATATATAGTATGTAGTAACAGGAGAGTTATAGTCTTTGTTGTTCTGATACTAATAACTTATAGTACTAAGAAACAGCCACAAGATATGGTGCCAGCTGACGTAAAGGCGTAGCTGCAATCATGGACTAGCTCATGGAATGTGATTATCTTGCTAGACACATGTTGACACATTCCTTTCTGTTAGTGGATGTTACATTATTCTGATGCATGTAGGAAATAATTAACTAAAGTACAAGTTGAATTGGTTGGATATACTTTTTATTTTACACTTTGACTCTTTAAAGTGACTTGAAATATGATATGGATATGATGATGATAAAATGTGTGGTGTGTGGCTTTTAGGGACCTGTTAGAAACCAACATGGAGTTCCTCGGTTTGATCATCATGCAGAACAAAATAAAAGAGGAGACTGCCAGTGTTTTACGGGAATTACGCCAAGCTAACATCCGCACTTTGATGGTCACGGGTAAATCAATTCAGAGACTTCACTTATTCACCTTGCATTGCCACCTAATATGTAAAGACAATAACCATGAATTTCAACAACATCAGTAAATTCTCTCTTTTATCCTGTGGTAGGTGACAACATGCTGACGGCTATATCAGTGGCTCGGGACTGTGGCATGATCCGTGCTCATGAGAGGGTCATCATTGCAGAAGCTGCTCCTCCGAAGGATTTCCACCCTGCTAGTATCACATGGCATTACACAGAAAACCCCGTACAGAACAAGGACAATCAGGTGAGGCACTGAGTAATGAATATCAAAATAATCTATCACACTTGACACTTTAAGGGCCCTTTTTAAACGACCTATAGGGCATGGTCTAAAGTGCATGGCGCAGGTGCATCTAGTGAGTTGCTACTGACTGGCTGCTGAGTACGGTGACCCACAGGTGCAAACACGCTACACTACACCGACCCAAAACACCTCCATTAGGAGAAACGCGCTGCCAGGGCCGGCCCCGACCAATTTGCTGTCCTAGGCAAGATTTTAGCCCCCCCCCCCCAAATGCAGACACTTATACATAACTCGTGCGTGCATGGTTGTAGTGTATATTGAAGTTAAAAGCATCAATCTGGTGCACTTTGAGAGCAACATTAGGAGATCTATGGATACATCTCTCAACACCCATATGAAACAGAACTGTAAGTAGATTTTATTTTTCTTTATGGATATTTTACAAATCACTCCCCTTTCAAACTGTATTCTTGTTTATTAATAACAACTTTTTTGTACTGTCATATAGTATTTTATACCCGTTTTTCACCTATTCTCTTATTTTTGTATAACTATAATGATCATATCAAGGTGTGCCTTTACCTCTCTGAGCTGAGGTTATCAGAGCCTCTCAGTCTTTCAGGAGAGAGCTCTCTAAAGCTCTCCCCCCACGGCCGCTTACACAGTCAATTCCAATGTTAATGAAAGCACACAGAAGCTGTGTACGTTTTTTGGGAGTTTGATTTATTTTAAATTAATACAAATATAAAATTAAAACCTATAATTGCACACTACCATTATTTTTAAAAAAAAGAACAATTTCACATAAACCTCTGGTTTTTACTGGGGCTGGGGCAGTTCAACTTGATTTTGGGGGGGGGGGGGGGTGTGTGCCATAGTTTATGGGCGCTGTACGCAATATAGGCGTAGTTCTGTTAGTATAAGATAATAAGATGTACTTTGTTGATCCAACGTCGGGAAATTGTGTTATGAAATGTAAAAAAAATATATTTTTAAATTTCTAACTTTTGGGTTGATGCGCCCTTAGCATTCACCTATACTGCTATGCCGAGGGCCGGCCCTGCACGCTGCACTTTAAAAAAAACAACGTTTCCTCAAGTTGGTGAATGTTTTCTAAATGTTGCGCATGTTTGTCAAGTTGGTGGAGTTGTTTCTTCATTTGCATGCGTTTTGGCACATTTGTGTTTTTTATTTGCATCGTTTTTCGAACTGCATTGGTTTCTCCTAACGGAAGTGTTTCAGGCCGTTGCAACATGTTTGCACCTGTCGGCCACCGTTGCTGAACGCGTCTGCGTCTCTTGATGTGTTTTTTCTATACATTTCTAATTTGCAACTACTGCCCTGAATATTGGGTTTTCCTTAACATAAGTCAAAAACACATTTTCACAACAAATTGTTGCAGTCAGGTGTCTGTGTGTAGCAAGCGGAGTGATTGTGAACCTCCATATGATAAGGCGGTCTCACTATCTGAATGTTGTGCTGGGAAATGACTGTTGTTTTGTCAGTATCAATCAATCAATCAATCAATGTTTATTTATATAGCCCAATATCACAAATGTTACATTTGTCTCAGTGGACTTTACAGTTTGTACAAAATATCAGTATGACAATACGACACCCTCTGTCCTTAGACCCTCACATCGTACAAGGAAAAACTTCCGGAGAAAACCCACAGTTTAAAGTGAAAAATGGGAGAAACCTCAGGGAGAGCAACAGAGGAGGGATCCCTCTCCCAGGACGGACAGACGTGCAATAGATGCCGTGTGTAAATTGAAAAGATAATACATTTGCAACATAGGTAGTCCAAATGTTTGGAAATGCATGTGTGTATAATAGGAAGATTAATCTACGAGGATATCCATCCAGGACCTATGATCTAGGACCACAGCCACGACTCAAGATCCAGGACAGAGGAGCGCAGGATCATCCATGACTCCGGATCCCGGCGTATACAGACACCAAAAAGAAAGACATTTGGGGAAGTTGGGTTATTCGGAACATGAGAGTACACAGGTATAGACAAAGAGAAGGAAGAAGTAAGATGTCCCCCGACAAACTAAGCCTATATCAGCAAAACTAGGGGCTGGATCTAATCAGCCCTAACTATAAGCTTTATCAAAAAGGAAGGTCTTAAGCGCACTCTTAAAAACGGATAGGGTGTCTGCCGCCCGAACACAAACTGGAAGCTGATTCCACAAATGTGGAGCTTGATAAGAAAAGGCTCTGGCTCCCATTGTACTTTTAGAGACTCTAGGAACAACCAACAACCCTGCATTCTTGGAACGCAATGCCCTAGTAGAACAGTAGGGTATAATGAGTTCTTTAAGGTAAGATGGCGCCTGCCCATCAAGAGCTTTGTAGGCGAGAAGAAGAATTTTAAATTCTATCCTGTGTTCTATAGGGAGCCAGTGTAAGGCAGCCAGAACAGGAGTAATGTGGTCCCTTTTCCTAACTCTGGTTAGTACACGAGCTGCAGCATTTTGAATCAGCTGAAGCGACTTGACTGACTTCTTGGTACACCCTGATAATAAAGAGTTACAATAATCCAGCCTTGAAGTAACAAATGCATGGACTAGTTTCTCTGCATCGTTTTGAGGCAAGATATGCCTGATTTTTGCAATGTTACGTAGATGGAAGTAGGCGGTCCTTGAGATTGATTTTATGTGGGCGTTAAAGGATAAATCCTGATCAAATATAACACCAAGATTCCTTACAGTCTCACTGGAGGCCAGTAGATGGCACTATCCCTTTCTGCTGCCTCAAGATACAAATGAGCCTGACCACACCTCCTTTAAAAGTCAATTGGCGCACAGAAAGACGCAAGTGCACTTGCTCTTTAGTTCGTGCACGGAATAAAAAATCACAACAGCCTTGGCCTAAAACTAGAAATGACACATTACATGTTAAATGTCTGTTTACCTGACTTAAATCAAAGCAAGTTAAATACACTTCTATACTACTGGTGATTGCCACTAAATAAAACTGAGGGAATTAAACACTGGGGCAAAGTAGTTGGACATATGCTCTCCTATGACGACGATGTTGACCTGCATGTTCTGGCATATCTTTGCAGTTATGTTTTCAAATATCATTTTGAAAAAGCTGAAGTGATAAGCACTGCAGAGTTGAATGAAACCAGTGCCACTGAAAGCATTTTGACAGAGGCTGTTACCTGCATTTACACACTTATGATAGCCCAACATGCATGTATGTGCCAGAAAACACCCTAAAAGTGTAGTAAATCTCCCAAAGACATGCATGATGATTACAGGTTAGTAGTTTTCTGGTGTTACGGTGATACTGACTCTTTCTCTCCTTCAGTCTGTGGAGATGAACCTGGAGGACGGGGTGTATGCACGGCAGGAACAGAGCTATCACTTTGCTGTGACCGGCAGAGCCTTCGCTGTCATCACCGAGCACTTCCCTCAGCTCCTGCAGAAGGTACAGGACCATCTCCAGACGTGGATATTATAAAATAAAACTAATACTGATTAACAAAATCAGTTAATGGCAATTACATACAATTTAACTGTCAATATAAAACTGGACTGAAATGTCCACAAAAAGAGTAATATTAACTGAAATTATGAGTTTATTCTGATATAAAGTAATAATTACAAACAAATGAAATACAATATAAGTATTTTAATACTCAAAGTTACATTGCATTTAAATCCCATGCGTTGAAACTTTTAGTTTGAATACATTTAAATTATGAATGAACAGTTCTTTATTAAACTAAATTAAATTACCATTATTTTACATTTTATTTAAAAAGGAAATGGATGCGATTGATGACACTTTTTTTATTTATTTGATCCACACCTAAAGACATTCCATTTCAAATGAAGAGTGATTGTTTCATCAGTTGTAAGGCTTTATTTCACAGATAAAAAGTATTCGTTTTTTAGGTTTTACTACACCGGCATCATGTTTCTGTAATTCTTTTTGTCTCCACACGGGGGCGCTGCAGCTTGCTCTGAGAGCCACAGTGTTTGCCCGCATGGCTCCAGACCAGAAGACTCAGCTGGTGGAGGTCCTGCAGAGCATCGAGTGAGTCCCCCTTTCTTTAAATTGGTTGGAGATGATGTGATAATATTGATTCATCACCAAAGGCACGTTGTAATACCTTCACTCACTGTTTTCCTTCCAGCTACACTGTTGGGATGTGTGGTGATGGTGCGAATGACTGTGGAGTGAGTACGAATTATCTTTATTTGTTATATTCGCATCAAAACATCATATACTTTTTCCCATCTCCTACTAGATTGATGCAACCTCTGTAAACCAGCCCTCATGCCTGAATGGCTCTAAGAAACACAATGTGGAAGTGCTCAAATTGAAAGAAATAATATTTCCATTTGAAAAAAGTCAACAGTACAACAATTAAAAGAATAATTCATCCCCAAAATTACCATTTGAATATAATTTACTTAATTTGAATTTGAGAAAGATTCCACGGTGAACAACGAATCAATAAACCAAGAGAGTGACTTCACTTGATCAAAAGTTTTCTCCGTTTTTGGATTCTTTGTTCAGAGTGGAGGTATGCTAGAACAACGAAGTTTTCTTCAGGAACTGAAGCTAGTCCGGTCCGCGTAATAGATATACAAATGGTTGTTCTGTGGGTGAAGTTGGTCTTTTGAAAGAAAAGACAATGTTGTTCTTCTTTTTGTTAATATGTTTGTGTCAGGCTTTGAAGAGAGCTCACTGTGGGATCTCTCTGTCTGAGCTGGAGGCTTCTGTTGCTTCACCCTTCACCTCCTCCACCGCCAACATCTCCTGCGTCCCCAACCTAATCAGGTGCCAACTCACCGCTGATGGAGTATCATCTATACTACAGAATTTGACACATCATGATAGTACCAACATATATGTTACAAATGGTTAAACACATCTGTCTGTAACCACCAGGGGTGTTAAGGATACTCACTGTGAATAAGCCTTGAAAGGATTTCTATCAAGCTTTCTGACTGTCACCTTCCCTGCTCCCTCAGGGAGGGTCGAGCTGCCCTCATTACATCATTCTGTGTGTTCAAGTTCATGGCTCTCTACAGCATCATCCAGTACCTCAGTGTCACACTGCTCTACTCGGTAAACACACACTGTCTCTCATACATTAACAATGCAAAGTCTTTCACTTCTTCTACAAATGTGACTCTCACATGATATACAGAGGGTTCATGGGCAGGAGGAGGGAGAGTGATCACAAAATACACTTGACCACACATTGACCTACATTAAAGCAGAAGTCAGTGAGTCAGAAATGTTAGTATCTCATGATAAACCCCATGAAATCTGTCATACGCTTTTTAAGGGTGTCAGAAAAAAATGACTCATCAAACAAATGGAAAACAAACAAAAATGATTCCAACGGACTAAATACAATCTAAAGAAAAATAGATAGCATAGTAAATAGCAATAATGATAACATAGACAATTGGTATTAAGATAAGAAAATGTAACATTTTTGAGAGGTGAAGAAATGACAGAACAGATACATCACAGGAGAATCAGATCACAAGGAGCCTAGACAAAGGTCTTTTCAACAAGAGGACGATAAAAAGGATAGCGTTAAGTTATAATTAGAAGTACTGTAAGCGACAAAATACTGCTCTTAACAATAAGGATAGTTAAAGACAATGAATTACAAAACAAAACATAAATTGGTACCAGTGAAATGTATGTCCTATCTAGGGGAGGCCGCATGTGTGAAAAAAGAAAGAAACCTCGTATATATCTGTTAGAACAGTTTCGATTCTGTAGATCAACTTTTCTTCTGCTGTGTAACTTAATTCATCTTCATCCTTCTGGTATCGTAGATTCTCAGCAACTTGGGAGACTTCCAGTTCCTCTTCATTGACATCGCCATCATCCTCATCATCGCCTTCACAAGTGAGCAGCATGAAGACCAGCACATTAACACTTTCATAAATCCTTAAGTTTGTGTGGTTAGACAAAGCAATCAAAACAAATAATTGACACTCCCCTGTCTCCAGTGAGTCTGAACCCAGCGTGGAAGGAGCTGGTGTGGCGGCGCCCCCCCTCCAGTCTGATCTCCGGCCCCCTGCTGTTCTCGGTGCTGACCCAGATCATCACCTGCCTGCTCTTCCAGGTGCTGGCCTTCCTCTTAGTGCGACAGCAGAGCTGGTATGAGACGTGGACGCCTCAGTCAGAGTGAGTAGCGTGTCTGAAATGAGATACTGCCAAAGGGTGAATCAGTAAACTAATGGTTGGTAGGGCTGCACAATGAATCCACATTTCATTGAAATTGCAATATGGCCTTGTGCAACATCCAGTTAAGGCTTGATATGTAAGAAAAACATTCTGAATAAAGTATTGTGGTACTGCAGAGAAGTCCTGGTCAACAAACTGTATTCTACAGACTTAATGAAAAATGCTTGTTTAGTACAGATGATCTTAAAAAATCACACCGTCGTCTTTTAACTACGTTTAAATACATTTTTCAATGATAATGTGAGAAATGTTTAAAAAAGGGTAATTCTCTCTAATATCGCGGATCACACTGCAAATGCAATATCCATACAAAAATAACTGCAATCGGTTATATTTAGCTAATTGTGCCGTCTCACTGGTTGGTAAGGTACACATATTGTTGATACTACTATGTCTCCAATAAACAAATACATTCAAAACATAGAAATAAAGTGTAACACAATGGAATGCAGTCTGATGCTTTGTGCACATGGTGGTTCTCTACATCCATTTAAAACATTGTCCCAATACAAAAACACATCATATATATATATATATATATATGTGTATGTATGTTTTTTTGTTGTTCAGGCAGTTAAGTCAAATTGTATTGCAAATGCAAAAAGGTAAAAAAAAAGCCTCTTAGGCAACTCTGGCGTATTTACTGCCATTTGTTATATTATTTAATGTCCCTTTAAAAAATAAATAAATACTATTAAAGGAAAAACTGGTGAGTAGATCAAATGAATGTAAACAGCAGGACGGATTGCACAAAAGCCTGAAACGGTGACATTTTGAAGCATCTTTTGGCTGATTTGTTCCTATGAGTGCAGACCTGTCACATGTTGGTTCTAACTTTGTGCTTCTCTCTTCCTGCAGCGCCTGCAATGCCTCCCGCTCCGGCCTCTCCCACGGCCTGAATGTAACGAGCCCTCACGACCACAAAAACATCAAGAACTACGAGAACACCACCCTCTTCTACGTCTCCTCCTTCCAGTACCTGGCTGTGGCCATCATCTTCTCCAAGGGGAAGCCCTTCAGACAGCCCAGCTACAGGAACTGTAAGACTTGTGAAATGACTGTGGGACGTGTAATGAGCTAAAGCTTTGTTGTTTATTGATATCAGACAATGATACTACAGATTATTCAATTATGAATTAAATGTTTCGTTTGGTTATTGCATTCATTTGTATAGTACTGTATCATGTCTGTATCACCTTTTGTTTCATTTGTATTTTCTTTAGTTTACACCCTCGGGAAAAAAACCAAAAAAAAGAACTGTCAGAGCGATGTGTATGTGAAGAGATTATTGTCAGTGCAAAGCAAGAACAAATCTACGAGGCCCATTAGCAATTCAAAAATGGAATTGTAAAGGTCTTTTTGTTTTATTTAAATACATTTCAAACTGTCAACTGTCAAATTCATTCTCCTGAATACATCCTTTTATTTTCTGAATATAGTTTTTTTTATCAATTCTATTAAGTTTGACAAACAAATGTATACAATTACAATCCTTCCTGACACTAATCACTTCCCATGTATTTATATATGTGAAGTGATATACTTGCAAGTTAAAAGATCTGGCGTTTCAACTGAACGAACCGTTTCTTTATTTCATAAGGGCCGTTCATGCTGTCCTGCATCGCCCTGTATACTTTTCTCCTCTTCATCATGTTGTATCCTGTTCGTGCCATCGACAACTTCCTGGAGGTAAACTTGTTTTTTCACTTGAATTGTATGTTGTTGTTGTTGTTGCACTGGCATCTCTAAAACAACCATTCTCCAACTCTGGTAAGCGTCAGAGAAACTGTGTGACTGTGCCTGGAAGTGACATGAAGTCTTTGAATGTGTGTGGTGTTGCATTCACTGCCCTCTTCCTGCCGCTCTCCCCCCTCAGATCGTGTGTGTTCCCCACGACTGGCGCATTACACTCGTCATCATTGTCATCGTGAATGCGGCTGTGTCTTTCATTCTGGAGGTAGGCTTTACAGACATGAAACCCAACAAAGCCCTCTGTGACTGATCTCCATTTTTTAATTAGGAAACTGATTTGCATGCATTGATTTTCTTGCTGAGTCTGCGCTAAGTAGTGCATCACCGACTAATGAATGAATCGTGTTTCTGTGAGTCTCTTTGGAGTTATTTCTCTGTGGCTGTAGCCTGATCTTCATGACCAGCTCCTTTCTCAAGTTCCCACTCAAATCTTCTGTAGATTTTGATCGTTGACATCGTCATGCGGAGGCTAGTTTTCAGAAGCAATCAGGGGCTAAATCTGCCCACAGAGCCCCCCTCTTCTGACACACCTAAGGTTGGGAAGCTTTTCACTTTTTTATTTTGTCTGCTTTCATTTATTTAAACAGTTACGCAAGTCCTAACCCTCTAATTCTCTTGCTTTATGTTTTTCCTCTGGTGACATGCTGTGGCTGATGTGTAAATAATCCATAGAAACTAATAGAACTTAGTATAGAATATTATTTTTGTTGTACTATTTTGTATTGGGTTGTTTGTGTTGCAATTCATTCACCCATTATGGCTAATCTCATGAATCAATGAATGGTCTTTTCATGACTGTTTGACTTATTTTACAACAACACATCCTCACTAATGGAGAAACTAGTCACTGCAACGTCACAACACATTTATGAATATAAAAACAGCTCTTCATATAAATGCATCAAGCAATGTAGAGACATTTTTCTAGTACCCTAGTATTTCCTGTTCTGTGCATCATCTTGCCATGTGAGTATGTTCTGAATACACAATGTTCTTTAGTCACAGATATTATTGCTGGCTTCTTAACGTTTCTAATGTTCAAACACTCCCAGGAGGCCAACCAGCACTGGGCCTCGTCCTTCCTCTCCTGGTTGTTCTGTCAGACCAACAAGCCCCCCCGGGTGCTCTACATGCACCTGGCCCTGGAGCTGCAGGACAACACAGACTGGCCCCCCCGACCCTCCACTGTCACCTACGCCAGCAATCCACAATCCAGCCTCTCTGCCCCCCTCTGACACCAACAAGCAGACTACTGCACAGACTGAAGATACAATCACAGCTTGAGTTGAGCTCAGAGAAGAAGATGATGATGATGATGATGTTGTGTGAAGCGTCCTAATATAACAGACACTGTGAGCTGCTCATACAGAAGGTTCTCCTCCATTTTGATTCAACCTCCTCAACAGACAAACTCTTGTCAAACTGCTGAAACATGAGCCAGAGACCTCTGTTAAAAGAACAGCTCACCATTTTGTGAAATGTGGTACGCTTAATCGCTCTATTGCTAATATGTTAGACGACAAGGTTAGAAGACAACTCTAACTATTCTAGGGTTAAACTAGATGTTAAAACGTCAACTAACCACTGTGAGCCAAACAGCAGGTGATTGCTGATATGTTTGTGAAGTGTGTGTTTGCATGTATGTGTGCAGCGCTGTGCGCTGCCTCAATCCCATCATAAAACACAATTAAATCAAACATGACTGAAACAAAATGAAACTCACCAAACCTGTGATGGTTAGGTCTTTTCAACTTTCCAACAATCACCAACTGGTTTGTTTGAAATAAGCCCTGCAGTTTTTACTGCTGCCCTTTTTCTCGGGGCGGGGGAATCATGAAATTATCCAAATAAGATGGCCCCAAAAATGTTTTATATAAAATATATGTTTCCATTGCCTCACCCTAATCTAAAGTAAAGGCAGTGACAGCAATTGGTTAGTTTATCACAAACACTGGTTGCTGGAAGCCAGAAGTTTATACATAAGTCAACATATTAACAAGCTAGGTTTATTCATTAATAGTCTAGATCATAATTAGTCTAAAATACAACCCAATGCAGTTTTCATTAAACACACATCAGAATGGGATCAATCTTCTCAGATAATTCAGCAAGAAAAAACCCAGGACATTTCACAAGTGAGAAGTCATTCCTTTAAGAGGAGTAGATGTCTTAACTACTTTGGCTGGCTGTTTAGCTCAGCCAGGTCAATCAACAGCTTCACTGTGAATAAGCACGCACTGTCTTCCACTAGCATTAGCTGCTGCTATAATCCTAAAGTTGTGAAACAGTGTTAGGATGTATGGATTCAAAGACACATGGGACACTTTTTTTTTTTCTAAGATAACAAACATCCCGCTGCTGCATTTCTGTCTTAGGGTAGCTTCAATCGAAGTTCTTCCTGTGGAAGAGAGAAACAGGAATGTCTGTCCCTATGTTCTAAATTGTATTGACGGACCATGTGTGTGCTTGTGTGGAACAGAGCAAAAAAGTGCATTGCTTAAAAAGAGAATAAACCATTTCTGTGTCCTTTGATGCTTAGTAAAGTCATAACATGACTTAATTTTTTTAATGAAATGAAAAAGAATGACACCGTTTCAAATCACTAAGGTACTCTGCAAGACTGATCATATTTAATGACTCAAAGCAAGTGAATGAATCAAAACGAATCAATGAGACACTTGCTGCTGTGATGAATTTATAATAGTTGATTCATCTTTTAATTTTCATATAATATTTGTCTGTAACTGTTTACAGCTGTTGTATGTGTATTTTAAGTAACAATTAAAATGAATAAATGAAACATGAGAATTGTTCTCCTAAATATCCTCGTTAGAAATATACAAATTCAAGGGAATATGTCAATCTTTTTAATATGTGTACTTATTTTCTTATTTCAATCAAATGTTTCAGTGTCCGTCAACGAAAATTCCCGTTTGCTCTGCAGAACTCCCAATACATCTGTATATTAAGCCACTCTTGCGTGCTTCGTGGGGGGCTGACCTTGGTCACACTTTTTCAGCCAAGACTTACTGATCAATTATGGGCTTTCCCAGCCTCCTCGCTGCCTGGCATATGGGCGCTTAAAGGGCGCGAGAGTGGAGGAGAAAGAGGGGTATCATTTCATGTGGAGATCAGGTCCTGTGAATGGGTGGATTTAGGGGGGACTGTGAATGAGGGAAGGGGTCCTCGCTTGTACCAAAGAGAAAAGATCTCCCACAGATCAGGGAAGAGCCTTTTTGGGAATATTCATGATGAGGATGAGGAGGCATCATGAATTCATGTGTGTCTCCTCGGATCATCTTTTCAGTAAACACTGATGTGGACAGAGCCGGGGATGTCTTGCTTTGCCGTGTTTGCCATGTAGTTTGGGGGATAGTGTTGCCTCTCCACAAAGCAATATGGGTTTTTGTGTACTGTGCTGTATTCCTTTTGTGCTTCTAGAGCAACAGATGGAGAGTGGTGCAGAGACATAAAGAAGCTAAAACACACAGCCTTTCTTCCTCACAGCCAGCTACTCGCTCAAAAAGATTTTCTCAAGCTTGTGCTCAGACGTGTGCTATTTCAAACATGTTGGACTTCATCTCTTTTCTCTTTTGGCCATACGTTTTTTTTGTCTGAGTTGTGTACTTTCAAGATTTGGGCTTATGCACACAGGCTTTGTTTACTGTTTCTTTAGTCACTCCTGCAGAGGGATCACACCCACTTAGAATAGATTGTAGAGGCACAGCCACTGTTGCACACTTTAGCGCACCAACATTTAAGATGCTGTATCACTGTATCTTTTAGCAAACACACACACACACTTGTGTGACTTATCCTTCATTGAGTCCGCACATAGATGCCAATTTGCTGCATTTTCTCTGAAGGTTGTTGGACCATCGTTGTGATTTATAGTCGAGACACAAGGCCAACCTGATGCTCACTTACGGTTGGCCTCATTTTACAGATGACACAAAGGCACCCACGTCTGGTAAAAGGTCTGTGACCCACCAGACGGTCACAAAGACCTTCTCCACCCTTCTGTCCCCTAAGCATGGGCTCCGTCCCCTGGCCTTCACGCAGTCCCTGTCCCCCTTCCTTTATCAGTCCTTCCAGGCCTGAATGGGCTCTGTGGTTGGTCAATAAATTCAGTGATTCAGGGGGTGGACAGTTGCAGCCGTGTTAACGTTTGTTCACAGGCTTGTCGGAGGGACGGGCCCCGCCCCGCAGCTCTTTGTCTTCCGTGGTCCCTCAACAGGTTAGAAGTCAATGGAGGGCCTTGTGCGGAGGTGGCAGGGGCATGCATGTAGCCGCCTCTCACATGGCGTTCACACAGGGGGAGGACGGGCCCGGATCACTGTGACACTTGTTAGCGCCGGGCCACACAGCACTGCCGGGTTGCCTCTCTGGCTCTCCCTCGAGGGCCCGTGCGATATTCAGCGCTTTACACAAACTAATGGTTGAGGCTGCAGGGTTGCAAGATGATCTGCACTCAGAGGCCTGCAGCGAGCGCACTGAAAAGAAGTGCACAAGAGTATCTTACAATCTCAGTTTACAGATCAGACTCACAATAAAAAACCAGGTCAGGTCTTCATTTGGTCCACAATCTGCAGTTTAAATTGATAATAGAACGGCATTATAATGCGTTTTGTGGCCCCTGAAGGTGCCACACTGTTGCTGAGTTATAGCCGCTTTCTCAGGCTCAGCCGGGGCTAAAGCATGGGAACAGCCACAGTGGGAGAAAAGAGACACAGAGAGCCATAGATAGAGCAACACACAGAGAGGAGGGCTTTAGGAGACAGAAAGCAGCGGACAGAAAAAGACGCACAGAGACTGAAGAGGGACTTAGAGCCATGACTGAGGCCTAACTGTCATGAGAAGATGAGAGTTGCCATGGCCACCCAGGAGCCACACAGCAAGCATGTGAGCAGGGGAGTCCCGGGGGCCTGGGCCCGGGCTGGTGGATCACATGCACTAACCAGGGATTATGTGCATAAGCGATGAGCGCTAAGCCGGCAGGTGAAGAAGGGAGGCCCCGGGACAAGGAGCGCGCCATCCCTCAGGACAGCTCCCCCGTAAAGAGCAGGGACTTTTTCCCAAGTGAGGCTGATCTCCCGTGTGAAGGGGACTCAGCCAGAGGTCCTCAAGTGCTGAAAGGGCATCCCCCAGGCTGCTTTCACAGCGTAAGTGGCCAAAATGCTGGTCTTGTGAGTCATCTTGAGAGGCAAGAATGGGCCATCTTCACATTCATAAATCCCAATGCAAACACACTCATGGATATGGACTAAGCTTGGATGAGGATAAGCACTGCATGGCAGTGCATCAGCAGGGCGCTTGTTGAAGCTTTTTGGCCGCCGCTGATATGAAACAGCCAACTCAAGGCGATCCAGCAGAGAGACAAAGATCTAACTCAAACACTAGCTAACTTCACTTTAGAGTATACGAAAGAGAGATTGTCGTTCCATAGAAAAAGGGTGTGCCAGGTGCTCGTAAAAAACAGGGTTTTAGGGAAAATAGGGATAGGAAGGACACGCCTAAATTAATGAACAATTAACCACAAGGAAATGGTAAAAGTAATAAATACACAGTTGAAGTACTAAAAGTCTAAGATAGATGGTCTATTTAGCTAAAAGGTATTCAAAGTAATTCATACAATGTTCAAATTATAATAACCTCAAAGTAATGGATAAACATTAAAAAAAAGATAGCTAAAAGTAAAAGATAAGCACTAGCAGAGTTAGCTAAAAAACAAAAGGCTACGGGAAAATAGTTACGAAGAGTTAGCTTAAAGTAATGGTTGAACAGTTTAAATAGTTAGCTTAAAGTTAGCAACAAAGCCATGGATACCCACAGTTCGAACAGTTAGCAACTGTAATGGACAAACAGTGAAGCAGACAAAAAAGTTAGCTAAAGCTAGCCTACATTATGACAGGTTGTTCCATAGCAACACATCTCTAACCTCAGGCTTAACTCAGTCAGTCAGTCCTAGCCTATGCTACGGATGCTAAAACCAGACTCGTCTATCATGACTATCTAGGGCCTAGGCCAATGCCAAGACCAGTACTAAACTACGATTAGAATCTAGACTATGTTTTCTGTAAAATATTAGTTTTCTGTCGGTAGGCTACTTTTTAGGCTTTCTATATTTATATTTAGATCTTCATTGAGACTATATGGGTATTTATTGTTTATGAATGATTTATACAAACCTGTTCTGTCATCTCATGATAATAAAGGTTTGAATATGTCCTTACTCATGGTGGCTTGTTCTCATGTATTGTTCTGAATCACCTCCCTGTTTAACCTTGCAGTATGTTATGGGAAGGAGCCTTCGTTTGAATCCAGAAGCAACAGGTTGTTTTGCTGCAGGGAATCAATGCTCATAATATCCATGGCCTGACAGGAATGTGTTTGAACCTTGATGGCACAAAGAAATCACATTCCCATGGTCAAAAGAGAGAACAGAACAGTTAACCAACCTCCCCCAACACCTTTTCAAGACGATAGTATCCCTGGACATATTAACATGTAAATACACTTAGATACTCTGACAATTCATTGAAATGCATATAATCTACATGCTAACTAGTGCTTTAAAGACTTTCCATTGCTGAATGTGGTTTGGAAACACTTTCATGTCTGGGTTTTAAAAATTAAATGTGAGGCCTCTCTTAGAATCTCTTAAAGCGTTTTTCAATTTGATGAGGGATAAGGCGATGACTGGGATCCCTTTTCAAAGGACGAGACCCAGAGTTCAATAAGACTTCAGTCTCATTGCCTTTGCCTCCAAGTTGAAGATCTAAATGCTGGCTTTAAAAAAAAAAAACAAGGAAGAAAGAACCCACCACGTTAGGTGACAGATGGCAGGTTGTTATTCTGAAATACCCGTTGCTATGGTCCCCTTTTCCTCCGCAGCTTCCCTTGCCACAGCATCCTCTCATGGTGTGCTGACTGGAATAAGCTGACTTGAAACTTCTCAGGTTGTTGTTGACAAACATGAGCCTAGATGAGTCTCCTAATCTCCCGCTCTTTTATCCGCTCTTTATTGCCGTATAAACAGGGCTGAATGCGCTAAAAGAAACTAAACCTCTGTCTTCAGCCTTCTCTTATCTCACGCAGGGTTTAATCTAACGCCCTCCACCCTTTTTACATCTCTGCCTCCACTAAATTCGACCATATTTTTGATTCAGCCCATCTCCATGACTACCAGTTATTTCCCATCCTTGAGCCCCCCCCTGGCTCCTGCTTCTCTTTTCCATTGATACCGCTGCCTCCCCCTTCGCCTTCTTTTTTTTTTGTCCAAATAAAACAAAGCGCAGAGTGAATGTGCTCTGAGGTAGGTAAATGTATTCAGTGACATCAGCCAGGACGAGTCTATTCTGCAGGATTCCTGTACCACTTGTTTCCAGCCTTGTCTGGGGGCCGGACACTCTGTTGGGCCCTTTGTCCCACGTGTATTCCACACAGGCCCGCAATTAATGGAGGCCTTGTCTAAGGCTTCTGGAGCAGAAACTGCTGTTGGGGAGGGGGACAAAAGGCAGGCAGAGCCGGGGGCTGGGAGTTGCTATGGGAGGGACCCCCCTTCCCTCTTTAAGGGGGGATTCAAAGGGAGAAGGAGGCACGGAGAGCGAGCTGAGCGCTGGAGGAGATGTTTAAGTGATCCCCTCTGTCTGTGCCCTCCCCTCCTGGCCTGAGATGTTTTCATACCAGCAGTTGAAAGGAGAAGCGTTGCATGATTTGGTGATGAGGATGCTCATTTCTCTGCCCGCTGCTGGTGGCTGGGTGGAGGAGAAAGCGGGGGCCACAGCTTTCAGACCAGGTGGTGATGGAGAGGAGACTGCGGAGAGACTCTACTGCAAAAATGAAATTCTCGATTAAACCATGCAAGCTGTGAAATAACTTGCATGGAGGAAGTCACAGATGTCCAGATATAAGAGCCCTTCTAGTCTAATAAAAAGGAACATCTCTGAAATGACCTCAGAAGATACAAATGTTCAGAGGTCATATTTGGATTTGGAGCACCTCTTTTCACCCTCTGTCTGAAACCAGAGCCCAGTGTGCTCTGATTGGTGAGCTGGACGGCTCTGTTGTGATTGGTTAAACATTATGGCCTGCCCCTAAGCCTATCACGTACAATGGGGGTGTGGGATGACATGTTTATTTATGGTCTGAGAAAATAAATGATCATTTATATAAAAGTCACTGCCAAAGAAGGTGAGAGCCTATAGGTGATACAATTATATTGCAATATGTATACGTTTGTAGTATTACACATTTTGTGCATATGCTTACCCAAAAAATGGTGTATTAGAGTTTTTCTCTGTATTCACATGGAAAAATTGAATGATACACACAAATCGAAAAAACTTGTGTATCACATCGACACACAGACTGTCAACTCGTTTTTTCACTCAAAAAGAAAATATATATTATTTTTGAATATAAACTACCTGATTATTAATTTAAAATTGAAATGTTAATGGACCAGAACTTATAAGGCTTCGGCTCATTTGAAGCTCATGTACCTGCAGGTTTTTTGCTTTTCTTAGTTTGTATCTTCATGGTTTATTACATTAAGTCGCTTGAAAGCATCAATACTTTGTTTCTATATATGCTATCTTGCTGTCCTGGCTCCCAAATGGTGGAACGAGTTACTCTTCGATACAGACTGCTAAGTTCTCTAAGTAATTCGTCTGTCACAGAAGGAGATCCCACCTGTTGATACTGCAACTTGGCCATTAAAGCTCAAATAATAATAATGTTGTACTGAGTAGCTCATTTGAATCGTATTCACCAACACTAAATGGTCGGGCTCATTTTAACTGAATACATGCAGGTTTCTTGTTGTTATGAGTTTGTATCTGGGTTTTTTTGCACTTATTGTGAGTCGCTTTAACCCTTAAGTGAGCAATTACATTGTACAATTATAACTATATAGGAAAATGATTTATTTATTTTCTACATTACAGCCAAATTACAATGTTATTTAACTATTACACATTAATACACCCCCAGTACACCATTATTCCACCTTACACCCCTGTTACATTATTATTCCACCTGTATTACCCTGTAATAAGACCCATATAACACCAATAGCACACACACATTACACATCAGTACACCCTTATTACACCGATGTTACACCCATATTACACCCATCCATGTAACACTGTTATTTGACCCAGTTTACATATGGACACAGCCTGGTAATTGACTGTTTCCTCCAGGATACAAAAACCATTTAAGGGTTAAATAAAAGCATTAGCTAAATGAAATGTAATGTTTCTGAGAATATGCTTCTTGTACACCTTTGTAAGTCTATCTTGTTTGGATCAAAGTTTAGGCTAAGGAAAGATTTTGACCTGAACATTTAAGGTCAAATCCCAAAAATATTGATGTCTCCCTGTCCGTGTTGTCCTTCGCTTTTCCTTTTGTTTTGAGTCACATGCCAGGCCTTGATATCCTCCCTGCCCTTCCTCCCAGGGTTCCCACACTGATACAGATCAGGGCTGCCTATAAACCTGGAGTCCTCAGCACCATCCGCACAATAAAGGCTTGTTTGTGGCGGAGCAGCAGGCGCAGTGAAAACACCACTGATAGGATGTTATTTATTGTTGCGAGGCCTCTTCTCCTGTCATCTATTAACACATCCTAAGGCTGTTTCAAAGGAGCATCTTGTTAAACCACGCAGTGAGAAGATTGACTTGATGTGATCCCAGGAGAACAGTTGGCCATACAGATAGAGCAGCATCACTTTCCCACTGCATGTTCCTCCTCTTTTAATGTCTTTGTCTTCTATCAGAGAGCAACACCAAGTGGTAAATATCTACACTGATGGCCACTTATATGGCTGGGGGCTTGACTTGACTTCATTTGACTCGACTCAGATCTGGAAGCTGCTGGTGCTTGAAGACGTGTCGCTCACACAGAGAGGAAGCTGATGCTGACCTGGCTTCTGGGGTCATTATGTGGATTTAGGAGCTTTACAGAGACGTTTAAAGTCCATCAGAGATGAGAGAGGCAGCCGGTGATAAACCAGAGGCCAGACAGAGATGTCCATGTTTCAGGGAAACAAGCACCATGTGTCTGGTTTCACTGATGTTGAACATATAGGGTCTAATTTGCTTAAAACGCTGGTGGATAGGGGACATTTCTCAAATGTAATTGTCAAATTATAATAATGCATGTTATGTTTTTATTTTATTTAAACATCTAAACAATTATCTACATTGATCAACACAGATAAAAGCTTCGAAATCTTTGAGAATTTGGAGAAGATTGAAGAAAACATGCACAAAAAACCAAAAATATATATTATTATCAGTGCATGCACAACCATACCAAGGCTTATATCTGAGCCATTCAAATGCGGGTTCATTTGTGTGTTTATTTGAGCAAACCAGGCTCCTACATACAAATTAGAAATAAGTATTGCTCTGTGCAAATATAGGCTATAAGGCTAATATTAGGCTCTTTATAATACTGTAGTACTTCACCTTTTACATTCAATATAAAAGCAGCTGAAAAATGTCTCATACATCTTGAGGCTAAATTTGAAGAGTAACTACTGACCAAAAAATAGCTAATTAAGTATAAATGTTGATATACTGTTACTCTTTGATTCACAAACATTATACAGTTTTAATTAAAGCAGTGATATCATTGGTATAAAATAGAACAGATTGAACTGATCATAAAAAAATGTCAATGATCAATTCAGTCATTTATGGACATAAGAAAAAATAATATAGGTTTTTCCTGAAAGATTTTGCCGATATAAAACTCAGGATTAAGATAGTCTTATTTCCGCTCTTCAGATCTTTGAGCTCTTCAGCAGTGAGTCCAACCTGTGATACCAGACGAGGTGTCAGAGTTCACGTCAGCCCAGGACAGCTGAGTGTGTCTCAGATTTTCTTCTTCACTGGACATCAGGCCCGGAGTGTGTCAGAGGACGAGGTCTGACGCATTCACTGACCCCCGAGAAGTGTGTGACGGACACACACTGAGAGAAAGAACATGTACCATTTGTAAAGACTAAAGTAAGTTGTCTTCACGGCTTTTATGATATTCAATTTCAACATAATGGGAAAACAAATCCTGATGTCCTTTTGCAGAAACAGCAGTTTTAAGTCAAAACGTTAAACAACACAATTTAATTGTCAAGTTATCTCACATCCATAGATTTAGGTTGACTTAAAACTGAAGAGTAAAAGTGACAGAAATACATGTGGAATAGCTTCTTTTTTTGCTGTACACCTGAAATAAAGATATTTCTTTGAAAAAAGTAAAGAGTAGTTTTGGATTTGTTTAAAAGTGCAAGTAATTCCACAGTGCAAAAAAAATCTATTATAATGATAAGTTAAAGAGAACATTTCACTGATGTAGAAGTAAAAAAAAAACATAGCCATCCTACCAAAGTACTCATTCAGCACAATGACCGATTTCTCAACAATATTTTAATGTAGGAAATTATTTGTATAGATGATGTAATAATCATCACTTTGTTGCAGCTAATAAAGGAGTAGCTTTTTTCCACAATGTTTTATTCTCCATGTTTCTCATATTAATCCTATAATAATCATGATACACTTTTGATTGATAATATTTTGTATTAATACTTTAAATTGGAATCTTCAAAGTAACTTAAGTGATATTTGATATATGTATAGCCACCTGATTGTCCCTGGTTCGAGTTTCGTTAATAACAAATATATATGACACACAAACTCATTGTCTCCATTTATTTTTTTGGCCATGGCTTTTTTTTTAACACATAATCATTTGAGAGTTAACACACTGCAGTATAAGGAGTTTCTGAGTATCTATTCTTTGTAAATTAGCTTTTAGCATCTTGACAGCTAGCCAATGTGAGCTCCTGGTCGCACGAGCCCGCCGCCTCCCCGGCACCGTGTCTCGCGCGCTCATTGGACGGACTGATGAAATGCGCGGAACTCACACACGAGCCGCTCGCGTGCAGGCTCGCGCTCTATAAATACACCCGGAGGCGCTGGAAACAGGAGAGGACTGACAGCTCGGCGAGGAGACAGAAGTCACTTTATCTGTCATTGGTACAGAGCTCTAAGGTGTACCAGCAGAAGGCGGGACTAACCTGTTGTTGTTTTGCTTCTTTCTGTTGTTCATAAAGTTTATTTTGTAGTCTTTTTAACTGAAAACCTGAAGATGCCAGCCGGAACTTTCGAGAGGACCTCTCCCTCCGCCGCGGCTGCCTCACCGGCCAGTGTGGACTCCACACCGGAGAAACCCCGCAGTCTGTCCGAGAGCAGAAAGGTAGCACAACTGTTCCCGTTACATCCCTTTTCCAACTTTTATTTTTATTTGAAACTGTCTTCTCAACTGCTTTTATTTTCTATTTAAAGTCCTCGAAACCAATCATGGAAAAGCGGAGACGCGCGCGCATCAATGAGAGTCTGGGCCAGCTGAAGACCCTCATCCTGGACGCACTGAAGAAAGATGTAAGGAGCTGGGTGTTTGTTTAAATATGACCTGAAATAACCAACTAAATGAGCAATTCATCATTAACCGTCACTTTCTGTGTTTAGAGCTCCAGACACTCCAAGCTAGAGAAGGCGGACATCCTTGAGATGACAGTGAAGCACCTCAGGAACCTGCAGAGGCTTCAGATGGCCGGTATGTCTTAGCTGATGTGCGTGCAGCCATTCTGGGATGGCTAACTTTAGATGGTAAACATCCCACGCTATCCAAGATGTATGCCCACCGCCCCACCCACAGCTGGTGTGCTCTCCTTAAGACTTGTTTTCACCAGACATCATCTGAAAGAATAAATGAATGAAGTCGTTTTTTTAATTATTCAAATTAGCCAATTTGTCAATTATTTAATGGTGTTTTTTCTATTCATAAACTCTTAATCACGTGTTATTCTCTATCAATCTCACCTTGATAGGGGTGCAATACATATATTAACTTATTCAACTTTTTATAAGAATTATAATTCATTTCTGTATATATTTGTAAGAATGTATTCATTTGTCTTTGCAGAAAAATGACTTATTTCATGTTTTTTTTATAATGTCATTTATTTGTTTCTCTTTATTTTGTATGATCCTTTTCTTTTTGCTTTCAAAATCAATAATTTAAAAATAAAAAAACAATACAAAATCAACAGAAATAGAGTAATATATTTGCAAAGATGAAATGGATCTATACTTTTGCAAAGTATCTACAGAAATATTAAGAAACATTATGTGAAAAAAGGAAAATGCTTAAATAACTTTCTTAATTTTTGGCCGATATATTTCCACTTTTATTTATTCCTTTATTTCTTTAATTCTTAAAAAATGTTCTCTCTATCGTTCCACACGTATCTTTCTAAATGAATGTATATATATTTGTATTTCCCTCTCCAGCTGCTGTGAACCCAGACCCCTCTGTCCTGGGTAAATACCGCGCCGGGTTCAGCGAGTGTTTGGGAGAGGTCACCCGTTTCCTGTCCTCGTGTGAAGGGCTGAACACCGAGGTGAGGACCCGTCTCCTCAGCCACCTGGCAGCCTGCGTGACCCAAATCAACGCTGTGAACTTCTACACGCCTCACCCAGGGGCGCACAGACTCGGGCAGACCGGCACACAGACCCCTGTGGCCCCCGCCCCACAGATGTCCTGTAAAAGTGGCTCAGCGATGCTCTCCTCCCCAGAGGCCATGAAGCTGTACGGGGGCTTCCAGGTGGTCCCCACACCGGATGGACAATTTGCTTTTCTGGTCCCCAGCTCTGCTCTCATGCCTCTGGGGGCACAGAACAGTCCGCACATGTCACCTATTGCTCCTCCCGTCACCTCAGACTCTGTGTGGAGACCTTGGTAGGAAACCAGCTCCACCTTTGGGACCCAAAAGAACATATTTTTGTACATTTTGTAAATGTTTTTGAAAAACAACATATATATGGACATAAGGAGATTCTCCTCATGTCTTTGCTTGCTGTGAGTTTGTATGGACAGGAGGACAGAAAATGCTTGAACAGTTTCTTGAAAAGCACTGTATTTTTGTAGAGAGTAATAAAATGTTTCTATGATGTTTAGTACAATATTTGCTGCATGGCGTCTTTGTCTTTTCTCCTCCCTCAAAAACAGATTTATATAAGTGTGGAGGCTATCATTAAAAGTGCTTAAAAGTTTGACTTCATCTCAGATCTTTGAAACGTTTTTTCAATTAAGATCATACACCAGCCGTTTAAACATAGCCCCCCTGCTGTGTGCCCTGTCCACACCTCATCATCCACTTTCGCAGCGACAGTGAAACCTGCTTTCTGGCTGGAAGTAAATGATTCTCTAATGAGGTGAGGAACCTGAGAGGCGGCGCTGAGCCCGAGACGACGAGGGTCTGTTGATACATGCAGGCGTGCCAGATGGGAAATCATGCCGAAATAGATCAGGCCATGAGACAGGGCTAAAAGAAGAGCAGACCAAACAAGATACTGGTATAAGTCATGGATTAGAGATGTTACTTTGAGATGTCTCCCCTGCATCATCTGCCACCAGAGGAGTGATAACTGATATTCATTCAATTCAACATTTTTGACTGAGCAGACCGTGAATCTAGTTTGATTTGTATATAATATAAGTCTGTTATAGAACAATTAGTCAACTAATCGCTAATTGGATCGAGAGAAAAATAACGTTTTTTTAAATTAAACGTATCGCAAGTAATGTATCATGCAAATATGGCAGAACATGCCGTTTCGGCCTCTCAAATATAAGATGTTCTGTTTTTTTTGTTTGTTTTATATCATAATAAAGGGATTTCTTTTGGGCTATTTGGAGTAAACAAGATATTTTTAAGACATCGCCTTAGATCTGGGAAATTACAACGGCCATTTTATAGACCAAACAATTAATCATATTGAAAGTAATGGTGATTTGCAGTCCTAGCGTCAGCCCTGCGGAGCCGGTTGTCCATTTAGCGGACAGTTGAAGCTGACAGTCCCAGCGTGTGTCCTGTGCGTGGTGCTCACTCAGCGGGCCACAAGCAGAGCGCGACCCCGGGTCACAGGTGCCTCTCATTCACACTCCGGAGACAACGCTCCTCCAACAGCATGTTGCCCTAAATCTGGCAACCCATGAACAGACCTGGCAGCCCATCAGCAGAAGACAGGGCCTCCCTTTGACAGCTTCCCACAGTGGCACCTCCAGAGGCACACACTCACTCAACCCACGACCATTTGGGCTGTTCATGGTTTCACATTCATGGAATTTAAAAGATTAGGTCAGAACTTAAAAATGTGCAACATATCTGTTTTGTTTCTTAAAGAACTTAGGAACAATCGTACATTATTTTGCACTGCAACGTTTGTAGTATTTCTATAAATACCTAAAACATGTTTTGCCAATACTTTACAATACATTATCACATTGTAAAGCATCACAACTATTGATGATTGATTATAACAGTTTTATAAAATATTACAAATATGTGTTTTATGATATCCTATGATACTTGAAATGTTCTGACTGACCAGCGATTACGAAGTACTTTGATATTTGACCTAATGAGTCATTTTGGATATTTATGACTGCTTATAACCTACTAATTATCCATAACTACACTATACTAGATTATAACAAGTATGTATATAAAGCATAAATAGGCATGTGAGTTTTAAATCTGCAGTTCCACATAAGAATCCATGCAAAAGTGAATTGAATCATCTCTTGGTCACTCTAAAACGTATTAAATCTCCTCACTTTGTCTAAATGATACAGTCAATTAAGTTTACATCTCTGTTTTGGCACAGCGGAGAGAAGCCTGGCAGTAAAGAGGACTTAAAGACAAAAACAAGAGCTCCCCCTCCTATCAGAGTATCCTTTGAGGAGACCCTGATCACAAAAACAAAGACGGGCCTCTTTAGAGGCTCAATGGCTCCTCTCCTTGTGACCCTCTCCATCTTCATAAAGGGCCTTCCCCTTGTTTATCCAGGAAGAGCTTTAATGGCCGGGAGGGGGGTAGAGGACCATGCTGTCACTTTCCCCGTGCTAAAGAAGGCTTATTGTCCCGCAGGTCCTGGCTGCTGGAGAACTGTTCAGATAGGAGGTGGAGGTCCCATCCACCTGTATGTGATGGAGAACATGGAGAGGTTATGATGGAGGAGGTCTCTTGAGTTTATTGGTGTTGCTCCCCTCCTTCCATCTTTTGTTTCTTATCCCTGCCCCTCCCTAATCAAAACCCCGCAGTATTTTCCCAAACGTAGAGAACGGTAAACAAGTAGCGGGGTTTGCAGAGCTCCATGATTGATGGCCTCCCCTCACAAACACACTGACAGGTTCCCCTGGAATTCACCGGAAGCCCTCGCTGCCCGGCCCCTGTGGGTGAGTTTTGTTCTTATGGTGCCCGATGGGGGTGGAAGTAGTTCACATCAAGGCTAATGAATAGATTATGCACTCGATATCAATGGTGAATGAACAATGTTCTTTGTCCCTTCACTCCAATTCTTCCCTTTTTGATTTAGCTGGTTGTTTTCGTCAACAACGTATTCGTGGAAGTGTAGCTTCCGGAGGGGGAATTTAGTATCGGCATGACACGATCACAGTGGAAGAAGAATATTTATCACTTTGGAGCCACAAAGAGTGATAATGGTGGGACCATTAAAGCTAACTAAGACTGTTTCTTCACCACAAGTCATCCCCTCTTCAAAGGAGATGTTGTGTTGAATGTCGGAGGGAACATTTTCATCTTGGTTTTTTTTTCCGCCAATGGAGACCTTCGACGAATCATTATCGCTGCAGGTGTCAATTCAAAAGGAGACATCCCATAATGCTCCAATAGCAACCTTAACTTTTTGCAATGACAAACCTGTTCAGCATTGCCATAGTCTTATTTGTACGATCATTAGTGTGTCATGTGACTCCATGCCGGAAGACAACAGTTTATTTTGTTGTGCTCACCACAAAATAAATATTCAAATCGTTTTCCATGGTGTTTTTTGATAGGGAAAACAAATGTGTATTTTTGGCCACAGCTGACATTCAGTTGACTAGCCATCTTCCCGCGGATTGAAATGACTGCACATGATAATAGCTTAATAGCATCCATAGGAAGGGTCTTCTATCTAAATGGAACAGAACACTGAACGTTCAAATGGACTAATCAGAATCAAGTACTTAACCAAGCCATTTAATAAAAGATTTTAGATGTCATGGCTGAATAGTTTTTGATGGTGTGGATGCAGTGAACGAGACTTCTCCTTGAGCGTGACTTACAGTTGCAAGAAAAAGTATGTGAACCCTTTGGATTCTCCACACATAGCGTTGTGTGTTCCTTCCAAACAACTCAACTTTGGTTTCATCTGTCCACAGAATATTTTGCCAGTAGTGCTGTGGAACATCCAGGTGCTCTTTTGCAAACTTCAAACGTGCAGCAATGTTTTTTCTGGACAGCAGTGGCTTCCTCCGTGGTGTCCTCCCATGAACTCCATTCTTGTTCAGTGTTTTACGTATCGTAGATTCGTCAACAGAGATGTTAGCATGTGCCAGAGATTTCTTTAAGTCTCTAGCTGACACTCTAGGACTCTTCTTCACCTCATTGAGCATTCTGCGCTGTGCTCTTGCAGTCATCTTTACAGGACGGCCACTCCTAGGGAGAGTAGCAACAGTGCTGAACTTTCTCCATGTATAGACAATTTGTCTTACCATGGACTGATGAACATCAAGGCTTTCAGAGATACTTTTGTAACCCTTTCCAGCTTTATGCAAGTCAACAATTCTTAATCGTAGGTCTTCTGAGAGCTCTTTTGTGCGAGGCATGGTTCACATCTGGCTATGCTTCTTAAGAATAGCAAATTCAAAACTGGTGTGTATTTTTTATAGGGCAGGACAGCTTTAACCAACACCTCCAATCTCGTCTCATTGATTGGACTCCAGGTTGGCTGACTCCTGACTCCAATTAGCTCTTGAAGAAGTCTTTAGCCTAGGGGTTCACATACTTTTTCCACCCTGCACTGTGAATGTTTACATGGTGTGTTCAATAAAAACATGAAAACATATAATTGTTTGTGTGGTATTAGTTTAAGCAGACTGTGTTTGTCTATTGTTGTGTATTAGATGAAGATCAGAACACATTTTATGACCAACTTATGCAGAAATCCAGGTCATTCCAAAGGGTTCACATACTTTATCTTGCAACTGTAGATACGATTCTGAGGAGACTATTTGAAGATACAGGTTTTATTTATCCGTAGTGTCTTTTTCAATAATGTTGTCAGACACTTTTTATTCCATATTAGCCTGTTAGTCCCAGAAACAAGCACGTTAAGTTGACGCGTATTGAAAAGGTGAATTGAATTGCAGCCCGTAATAATCGACCAATTTAAAAATGATTGTCCCTGTCACTTACTTAGGCCCCAACACATTGGAAGATAGTGTCCAAGGTTCTGAAAACACTAAAGGTACCTTTTAAGGAAGAACTTTGCACACTTAAGATGCAGCATGACCAAACGGCTGATACATGAGCCAGTGATTGTGAAGGATGAAAAATCCTCCATTTGTATTGGACTGGAATCATCATTACACTTGTGGAAAAGGACGTTTTCTACTGCTTTGCGTGTTTTTTGGCACCACTTTCCCAATAAGACTGTATTGAGGGATTATAAATTCTATCTACTTTTATAAACATGTAGGCAAGCATTTGTCCACTGAGCGATAGCAGACAACTCTAAGACAACTGTTAGGTTGAAAGAGTATGAGAATCTGTTCGCTGGTTTTTGTTTCTTCTTACCTTTTGGTAACAGCTGAGTATGTGGCCAAAATCCATAGATCTACATGAGGGTTATTTATTTAGTTTTAAATGTAGCACGTCAATGCTCTTAAAATCTGGAACCATGAAGTAACAACAGGGACCGACTGCATTCGTAAAATGTTGATAATCCTGCTTCATTACTCAACCCATAATTAATGCGGCTCACTCAAGAAACATATTTTTCTGAAACAAAACCCTCTTCACAAATGACTTCGGCTGCTGGTATTTGGAGTGCGGGAGGTATTTTTCCAATTGTTTTGCAGAGACAAGCTGCTAGGTTATGCCGTGTCTCTTCAAAATACAATGACGGGCTGCATGCATACATATTAAAAACCTCTCTATCTGGAGAGCTGGAAACAAAACAAGTGTAGATGTATAAGAGTAGGGTCCACAGGGGCCAGGGGCCTGATTCATTCTCAATAATTGTAATGTGATGATAAGGAGCTTATAGCCTCTTGTTATCTGCCAAGAGGGACGACGAAGACAAAAGCTGGTGTACCAGTACGCTTAAAGATTACCATTCTGAGGACATCTCTGCGTCCACTTAACACCCACATCAGGTCAGCTGTTCTTAATTTGGTCAAAAACTATTTAGCCTCCATGCGGGGGTCTGGGTGCACTGAGGGGTAAATATTGACCCTTGTTTGTAAGCAAGGCTCACATTTTGAGTGTGCAAAATGGCGTTTGTGTGTCCTTGAGATGTTTGGGTCATCGTGTCACGGAGGATGTGTATCACGATCTCATTGGCTGAGAGAGAGGATCTAATAGACACCTGCCTTCATTATAGGGACTGGTGGTGGTTATCATTACACGATTGACTGAGCTCATTTGAATGATGCTGAATAAAACAACAATAAGCATGATTATCAAAGAGACCATTTCTTACATTTGGTGCTCAAGACAGACATATGCCTACGCTGTTAATACAGTATATTAGAGATGATAACATTGATGACACACAGCAGCCCGATGTCCAATTAATTTACATTTCCAGATCAAAAACTCTCCTCTTGAATTCTCGCCCCGGGCACTGAGTCCGAGATGACCTCTACGCTTTGTCCCAAGGACGCTGCCCTGCCCTTGCACCCGCCTTCACACAGGCCCGTCTAAACTCTGTGGGAAACCCCCCCAGTGCTTTGTGTTGGTTCGGACATTGTGTGTCTCCACAGATAATGTCTCCTCCCCTCTGGTTCTGTCCTCGCCCCTCTGAGGAGCCGCTGTGTGGAGCGTGGTGTCCGTGCAGCGGAGGGAGGGGGGGGGGGGGGGGGGGCAGAGCCGCTGTAACTTTGCAAGGGGTTAATTGAAAGTGATGGATGCTGGGATGTTTTGGAATTTAAGGTAACTTAATTAACCTCTGAAACTACGCTGTACCAAACAGGGGGTACATCTTATGGATATGTTCAGTGACCAGTCCTTTAAACCCACTCAACTTTAGTCGAAATTCTTCTCTAAATATCACAAAGACACCAAATATATCACCAATAATGTTGGCTAAAATTTTAAACAATAATTTATTATAATAACCTTTAAATGGGCTATTTTCTAAATAGCACCACACCGTTACACCATTATGCACCCTAATTACACCCTTATTTTACCCTTGTGACACTCATATTACACTGTTATTAGACCCATATTACACCCATGTAACACAAATATTTATTTTTTTATTTTTGTAATGTATTATTATCTTTATTGTCATCATGATTCCTTTTTAAACGTACATTTTCCTTAACGGAGGCTAAATTCAAACTTACAATGAACATGTGTGGATCTGCAATTGGAATTTTAAACATTTCTAAGAACAATTGAATTGCAAAAAAAGTTTCACGTTCCATATCATTATATATATATATCGTTTTCATAACATCAGAGTGGTTCTGGTTTTCAAAAAAGAGATTTAGAGGTACAATTTAAAAATGATGTTGCAATACAATGAATGCCTATTCGTATGACGGATTACCTTACAAATATTCCTAAATAAATAAAAAATATATTTTGTCTGGTACTATTTATCTTTTTGACTGTTAAACTATGATTTCCTCCTTAGAGCCTAAATGATCTATATGAACCCTGTTACCTTCACTAAAGACAACTTCCACATGCCTGGCTGCTCGTTAGCCAACAACCCTGCACTTTAAATGTTAAATGTCCTGTTTAAACCATAGTTTTGCTCAAGTGAGGATTACCTCCAGCTAAATGCCTTCACTCCAAACGTTGGAAGTAAGACGGCCACCAGTTTTTGTCATGTGAATTGTGATGTCATTCAACTCGGACCGAGGACCCAATCGACCCCCTGGCCTTTGACCCTTATTAACCCCGGGAAGAGTGCTGTATTCAAGGTGTAGCCATCTGTGTGCCTTGTTGTGTGGAGCCCCCCCCCCACCTCTTTATCATCCTCCCAGTGTTCAGGAGCAGCGGAGTGATCCAGGGGTGTCCAAGAACCCCGGGATGACAGGATGGGTCACTTCTACTATCTTAAGTATCCTAAGAGTAAAACAGACAGATATATAAGTCTACAAATATTTATTAAAAAGTTTCAGAGTACAAATTTGAGGTATTTGTACTAAAATTGAGTAAGTCTAGATTAATTTCAATGTAATACTTAATAAATCAAAGGGAGATATTGTTCATTTTACATGACGTCGTGACAACTATAATTGAAACCACTTATCGACAGCATTTTAAAGCAATGTTAATCTTTAATGTTGTATTGCCGTTGGTGGATGAAGTACTCAGATCCTGTACTTAAGTCAAATAAAAAAGACTATGGTCATAAAATACTCAGTAACAAGTAAACCCTGAATTCAAAAGTACAACAAATATAAGCTTCAAAATGTAATCAAAGTACAGAAGGTACTCATTCTGCACAATGGCCCATTTCAGTAACATAAAGTACAGAAGTATCAGCCATATGTACTAAAAGTATCAAAAGTAAAAGAATGCAGAGTAGCTCATTCAAAGTATTTATAAAGAATATTATATAGGCCTGTTTTTATCATTTGTACAAGCTTTTTAATCTTCAAGTCTATCATTTGAGACAATCTTATTGTTAAGTAGTGATGTCCTGCATTATATCAAATTAGCATGTGTGTGATTTTATATGTACCATTTATTTTACTTTTTATCAACCACTTTTTATATATATATATATATAAGTAGTTGATAAAAAAAGGATAATATGGAAATACTGAAGTAAAGTAAAATGATGTCAAGTATGGTACTTGTGTAAATATACTTAGTTACATTCCACCACTGTTTAAACTACCCAATTAAAAAACAGTTCACAAATGAGCTTCACCTACAGCATTACAATGATGCCCACTCATTAATGCATCAATAATAATCCAAAAGTATAAAGTAATATAACAAGGGAAAGAGCTATTCTAGTTATACTTTTAAATGTATTGTGCTGATAGTATCGCTGCACTATTTCACAATTTATAAAATATAAAAACCTTTGCTTAAGTGAATGATGTTGATACTCCCTCCATCGCTCTCCTAATAAAATACGTTTTCTGCCTTTTCAAAGTTTTGGACATTTTTTAAATAAAGTCATAATTTACAGAAGGAAATATTCTTTTTTATTTTCATTTTCCAAAAGCAGTTCTTCCAAGATTTCTTGAAAATGTCAAAATGCATCATATCTGATCCCGTAATAACACAAACATTTGTCAACATGTTTTCCAATGATAATTCACTTTGACACGGCGGAATACGGTGGCCGACACGGGCAATAACGTTACAACGACCCAAAACACTACCAAAAACAATGCAACTAAAAAACGTTGTTGTTGCAAGAAGCTCAAAACATAATGGAAACGGGGAAACAAAAAAGTGATGCACACAGCTGGGACAACTTGTTGACGTTCTGATAGGGCTGCTCAATTAATCGTATTTTAATCGCAATTACGATTTTGGCTTGCAACAATTATGAAAACAACATAATTGAAATAAAACGATTATTTTTAAAATGTAATTTCTTTCTTTTTTTCCTTTTTTTTGTAATTGGTTTTTCAGTTGAATTATATTTAAAGTTCAGGGTAATCAACTGTTCAAAACATACTGTTAACATTTTTTTTTTCAATATATGGATGTTTTCAAAGTAAATGGATAATCGTTTTTAATAATCGTGATATTAATTATTGACCCAAATAATCGAAATTATAATTTTTGCCATAATCGAGCAGCCCTACGTTCTGAGATTATAAAGATGGCAGACTGTCACTGGAAACGTACCTAAAATGTATGTTTTATCGGCTTATTTTAACAATGTGTCAACTGATATTATTGCAGATCTGCTGTGAGCTAGATAGCTAACCTAGTTATTTCAAATATACTGACAAAACACTATGAAACAGATTAACTCTGTAGGATGTGTTTTGTGTTTTGGCATCTGTGTTTCTATATTTACGAAGATGCAGCCCGTTTCTCCTTTTGTAACTGTTTGGGCCGATGTAGTGCGTTGCCTTGCATTAATGTCAATTTGACATTAGAAGATCATAAACAACGGGTCAGAAGCATCACTACAGGAGATTCAACATGTTACACACAGTTCCTTTCAGTAGTAATCTTAAAATGCAATTGGTTGAACTTTAAACTTTCCAAGAAAAGGGTTCATCCACCTCTTTTATCGTCCAGCAGCATGCATGGTTGCTGGTTATCAGCTGTTGCGTTACAGGTTTGTTTACAGTATTGACTGACAGTCAGAACATATAATATGACTCAGATGCATGACGACGTATTTGCATGGAGAACAAAGTCTAGTAACAAGGAAAAACTACAGACCAGGAATATCAATCACTGTGTCATTGCTACACTTTGACTCATTTTTCAAATAATGCTCCGTTATGCTTCCGTCATCTTCCTGAAACTGCAGCCTCACTGTAAGTGGAGAGCACTTGTCCACTTTGCAATTGACAATCACAGTATCCCCGGAAGCTTGTACTCTACATCTACTGAGATCAGTTGTAGCATCTCTAGACACCTCACACACCAACTGGTCCTTGTCGATGGACACGACTGCCCGTCTTCTCAGGAAGCCAGGGCTAGAGCAGAGCATCCTGTCGAGCATCTCCACATCTCGGCCATTTCTCAGCACCCAGTCGTGCAGATACCACATGTGACAGTCGCATTTCCAAGGGTTCCCGTGCAGTCTCACTGTGTGCTGGATGACAAAAGGGTCCAACAGGCCCAGTGGAAGAGATTCCAGCTGGTTGTCGGACAGGTAGAGCTGCTGAATCAGCAACTGGTCCTCAAACAGATTGGCGTCCACCCTGCTCAGGTTGTTCTTGTTGAGGTGGATCGCCTTGATGCTGAAAAGTTCATTAAAGACCGTTTCTGGTAGCAGGGTGAGCTGGTTTTCAGACAGGTCTAGATTCTCCAGGGCTGTAACATTTCTAAAAGTGTCCTCAGGAAGGTCGGAGAGCTGGTTTGAGGACAAGATAAAGACAGTAAGAGACGTAAAACTGCTCAGAGAGGACAACGTGGTCAATATGTTGCCTTTAAGGTTCAGTTCCTTCAAATTTGGGGCGTGGAGTCCAAACAATTTACCACTGAAGCTCGTGAGAAGGTTCCCTCTGAGGTTCAGGACCTTCAGCTTGGTTAATACAGAGAAGCTATCATCAGCGAGTTCTGATATGTTGTTCCCTTCCAAGTGAAGCTCTTCCAGCTGTGAAACATTGTGGAACAAGTCAGATGTGAGATTGCTGATGAGGTTGTTGTTCAGTTTCAGGATCTCCAGTTTGGCCGGGCCAGAAAAAGTTTCCCTTTTCATGTCTTGAATCTTATTCTGGGACAGATCCAAGACCCGTAGATTGTGGAGGTGAAGCAGAAGGAATGCAGGCAGATTTGATATGACGTTGCCCTTCATCTGCAGAGTTTCTAGCTTTTTCAGAGAGTCGAACATGCCAGGGAGCACGGTCTTGAACATGTTGAAGTTGAGCATCAGTTTAGTCAGGTTTCCCTGCTTGGAAAAAGTTCCCAGATATAAATACTCCAGCCAGGGGTTTCCACTGATCTCCAGCTCCTGCAGCTCACTCAGATGCTCGAAAGCCTGAGAGTGAATATTGCGCAGGGCATTACTGAGGAAGACGAGTTTGGTGAGTTGGGGGCTCTCCTTTAAAGTTTGGGCAAACAGGTACGATACCGTTGATCTGATCACGATAAACTCCTTGACTTGCCTGGACATGTTCTTCGGTAAAGACGACATCCGTTCTTCCGCACACAGGATTTGGACTGAAGTGAAACACTGGCAGTTATACGGACACGAGGTTTGTAACTGTGTGTTGCTTTTGTGGCAGAGAAGCAGCACCAGGAACAGAAGCAGTCCCAACACTTTGTCCATTTTTCACTGTGGAAACATGGAGAAACTTTCTATGAATTAACAGGGAGTCAATGCTTTGATATAAGGACAGAATACATATGCACTTTCTTCACTGAGAGTTTTCTGTTTAAATAAATGAAATCGAACATACCTCTGTGTTACAGGGATCCCGTAAATTCCCCTGCCGATCTACAAGCCAGCTGTCACAAAGTGCACACAGCAGCAGGGTGAATTAGGCAAGAGGAAAACCTTTGGTCAGCAGCCAGCTCTGACATGCTTGCATTAGCTCACAGCAAAAAAGAAAAAAAGTGGATAATCCTCAAATTCAAAATGTGTTGTAATGCAAATCAGCTGACAGAGGGGGAACTATTGAAATAACTTGAATTTGTTGCTTTGAATAGAGGATTTTTTTTCTTTTTTATGTCAGTTTCAGCAGAGGTCTGTCAGAGATTAGTCAGTATTTACCAAAGCAAAACAAATAGATCCCACAGGAAATGATCTGTCATCACTCTTTCCAGTTTTTGTCAACTAGTCTTTTTATATTGAAAATGTAGAAACAATTACAACAGCTTGACCATTTTAAATTATAAATAAAACATGTTATTGCATGGCCTAGTCCCCCATTCTGATTGGTCAATTTGAACATTCCACAGGTTGTTAATGTTGGCTAACAGACTGCTGCTAATGAGATCACACCGTGTGTCAGGAGGACGAAGGGGCTATGTGCAGTCATATCTATCCGCAATAAGAAGTCCGGCACATTTTACGTCAGATGTGGACAACAAACATTATTATGTGCCGCTTGAAACTGGCATAAATGTCTATTTCTTGTTATTAATCCATCCATCCATCCATCCATCCATCTTCTCCCACTTATCCGTGGTCGGGTCGCGGGGGTAGCAGTTCCAGCAGAGAGCCCCAAACTTTCTTTTCCCTGGCGACATCAACCAGCTCTGACTGGGCGATCCCAAGGCGCTCCCAGGCCAGCGAAGAGATATAATCCCTCCACCTGGTCCTAGGTCTACCCCTTGGTCTCTTCCCAGCTGGACGTGCCTGGAACACCTCCCTAGGGAGGCGCCCAGGTGGCATCCTAACTAGGTGTCCAAACTTGTTATTAATAGTATTTAATAATAGAGGCTACCTCATCATCCTTCCATAGTTTGAAAATGCCTTGTTATCAAAGGATAAATTGTTCACATCCATAATTACACATTTATAGTAATGTATTTTTACTTTATTACTGAATTCACCGAAAGTTTCTATAATCTTTTTCAGATTGGAATATGATTCTCATTATTCGAAGTCTAATTATTGGATATTTATTTATGTAATTATTTATTGAATTTGTACTTATTATTTTGTTGTTATTTTTGTTTTCTGTTGAATATATCAAATTCAGAAATCTTTTAGTTGTTTGCCGGTGTGGAGATTTACAGCGTTACAACAGATGGAAAGAAAAAGAAAAAAGAGTAGACAATATTAAATAGAGGCAAGCACACATTAATGATGATAAAAAAGTAGTATACATACATTGTAAAAAAGTAGTAACATAAGCTAACTTCAAATAAATTGTAAACATTTGTAAAAAATAAAGTGTATATTGCACATATTAATTGTTATTTCAGAACAGTGGTACAGTGGGCTGGTATATTTGTTTTTTACCAATTGTTTAATATTGTATTTAGTTATTGTCATTGAGGACACCCTTGAAAACAAGATGGTACGTCCCGAGGAGATAATTCGAATAAAAAGGAGTAACACAGTTTTTAAGTGCTGTGCATTTTCCCTGGAGATTTAAGGTTTGGAAGCAGTTTGAGTGTTGCAGAGAGCCTCACCTCCACCAGGTGTCTACTCGCTCCTCCTGACCTCAGGTGATGCATTCCTAGATCCTCCCTCTCCTCAGTAGTGTTCCCTGAGGATGCAAAAGTAGACACCACTGTTTGAGATCACTTCCACCAGCCCATACACCCAGGACAGGAACTACATCAAGAAAGCATTGGGATCTTTTCAATCTCTTGGAACTTATTCCACTTCTTCACATTTTCTGACGTCAAACGATGGCCAATGCAGGGATACAGCTTCTGGGCTTCACGCTGGCCTTCCTGGGCTTCATCGGCTCGATAGCTTCCACAATCATGGTGGAGTGGAAAGCTTCATCGTATGCAGGAGACAACATCATCACAGCTCAGGCCATGTATGAAGGGCTGTGGAAGAGCTGTGTGTCACAGAGCACCGGGCAGGTTCAGTGCAAAGTGTACAATTCCCTTCTCCAACTGCCAGGTAATGTTCTGCACACATCATGTTTTTACTATACTATCATCAGACTCTAAAGTCCTTGAGATACAAAAATAACTGTCTTTATTTTCGCAGAATAGCATAGTGAGCATACACCAATTATCGTTAATCCAGGCCAATATCTACTTCTTTTTCTAAAGAAATGTAGGTGTGGAAGGACTATTGGTAATTGGATAAAACAATTGTGCATTTCTCAAACGAAATAGATTTTTCTTTCATAATGGTGATTTGAAATGATGAATTTATGAAATGTTTCACTTTTAAAACAGGATTATGTATAAATCTGTGGTCATTCAAAGCCTCCTGCGTGTTTCAGAAAGCTATGTCCTCTCCCAGTAAGGCCGCCTGCATGCAGAGACATGTCCGTCAAATACCAGCTGTGGGCAGATCAAAACCAAACCTCCTTTCCTTAGAAATCTATACAAAAGGAAAATATGCTCTGGATGGTTTTTGGTTTGAAATGCTAACGTTTTTTGTGGAAAAGTATTTTTGGTTTGTATATGATAAAAGGCTGATACACACTTGATACACATATTGCAATAAGTACTTAGATAAAATGTTACTTAACCTGTTAAGCCCGAGAGCCCCCGCCTGCGTCTCAGGGCTTCTTAACATTTAAAAACCTATGAATGTGTCATACTCACTTAACGGGAAGAAACTCAGCTAACTGATTATATGAACCATTTTTACCGAAACAAAGCACAGGTCTCAAAAGACGCGTCTAAATGAGCACTGAGCGATAAAATGCTAACGCACTTAGCACAGAACTCTAGGTATAAATACTTTATTACTTATCGGATCTGGACAAACAAGATATTAGCTAGCAAGCTGAGATTCCACAGATTCTAGAGGTATTAGTATCATCACTGATCGATCAGAACTCGCGACAGGGGAAGCAAACCCAGACAACACACAACATAGCTTATAGCAAACACGGAGATATTCTTACCTTAGCTGTTGTTCTGATCAAAAGTTGTGTTCAATGGCATCAAAACGAGAAAAACGCAGCTGAAGGTTAATCCATAGGTTCATCCAATGTGTCTGTGTCACTTTGAAATGATTACTGATAATCCATCATTCCATTTTTATGTCAAAAACTGAGTTTTCATATTAGCTGCTATGATAGCTACCAGAGTGTATGACAGCTTCCTGTTTTTGATATTCTGGCTACGCATCACTCTCACTCCTTATTTGGTAACGTGTAGGTGGATTTAGGAACTTCCCCTTGATTCTATTGGCTCTGACGGTTAAAAAGAGATGGACACGAGGGGGGCCAGAGATATGGAAAATCCACCCAAATGACCCCAGAAGTGTTTTTTGTTTTGTTTTTGCATCAATCTTGATACAGGGTACTTATTATATGTTATAGTTTGGATTCCTAAAGCTTTTAGTCTACTATCCCATCATTCAAGTCATGTTTTTCTTTTGGAGGGACACTATACATTTTTTTGTTTTACTATGTTCAATCTGAATTTACTTTAAAATAAAAATATATCTATATTGATTCTGACTTTTCTACATCCAACTCACAGGTTTATCATTGCTTTGAGAAAAAAGATTATTAATTTACCCCTTTTAGAAGTGAAGATATAGTCATTTGTTCTGGGAATGTCATTTTCTAGCCTGAGACCTGGAAAACAGGCTCAGTGCTTTACAAGTTATATCATATATGTAATGATGTATAAGTACAGGATTATAAACAAATAAATGCACTTCAAAAGTAAAGTTTTGCAGAGTGGATCTTATTATATTATTATAGATGTGCTGTGCTTATACATGTAAGAGCATTTTAGTATTGTAGTTTGTCAATGTGGAGTGAATATAGATACGTTAAATGCTGTGCAGATTTGTAATACAGTACTGCAAATCATGTGTTTTTATTTGAACAAAAGAACTTGAAAGAAGTGAGTGCTAAATTAAATGTAGTGAATGCGCCTCTGAAATCTAGTGGAGTCATGAAAATTAAAGTAAAAATTGATAAATGGAGTCTGACTTCAAAGAAATAATTACTTCAACTTGTGACTTTAAAACTTTTCGAAAATGAAAGTCAGATTAAGTACAACATTTATTTAAAAAACGAATTCAAGTATTGAGCTCATTTCTGAGTTAAAAGTCAGAATTCCGTAAAAATGTGGCCTTAACCCTTCTACAAAAAAGGTAAACGGTCAAAGCCAATGAAAACTCATGAAAGCTGCGACATTGAATGAAATAAATTGATCCCGTGTGTTTGCAGGGATTGTGCTGGGCACCCGAGGGCTGATGATGGCCTCCATCATCTTCAGCCTCATTTCTATCTTGGTGGACGTCGTGGGCATGAGGTGCACCACCTGCATGGCAGAACGACTGGAGCAGAAAGACAAAGTGGCTCTAGCTGGAGGGGTCCTCTTCATTATCGCTGGTGAGAGTCCATTCACTTCAGACACACACATGCAATGAAAAGACACACACTGCGGCAACATTATCTATCAGGTGGTGAGATGTTCTGCACTAAGAGGTTGCCCCACACTGTTGTATGTTGTACTTTGACCACTCTAATGCAAAAACATTTGACGTTATCTGGATACTTTTGAGTTCATGAAACATAATACAGTCCTGCATGTTTGACCCTGCAACGATATCAAATGTTTTGCTGCTCATGGGTTTCAGGTCTGCTTGCACTGGTGGGAGTGTCCTGGTATGGACACAGAATAGCCCAGGAGTTCTACAATCCATTCACTCCCACTAATTCCAGGTGAGGTCGCATTCACTAGCCCTTTAGTTTGGAATCCACACTAATTATCACTGTGGCTGTTTGTAATGACACAGATAACACCAAACAATCTGTCTTTTATCATGCTGTTGTTCTCCCAGCAGTCCATGTTATCAACTGTCAACATTTGACTTGGTACCTAGTAAAAATACAAAGGTATTGTCAGTCTGTGCTCAATGTGTGAACAGTAAAATAATATGCTGAGCGCGAGCCTATACTATTTTGGATACATTTGTATTATTATTTTAATTTTATTCTACCAATTCAATATTAGCACAGACAATTTATGAAACCGACAAACAAACACAATTAGTAACACCAGGAGGGCAGAAAGCATAGC